GGTGATCAAGATTGCCAACAAAAATGGCTTTGCAAATAGGACAAAGCATATCTCGCTTCGCTATTTCTTCGTGAAAGAGGAGATCAAGCAGGGGCGTCTCCAATTGCCTCACTGCCCCACTACCGAAATGGCAGCCGACTACTTGACCAAGAAGCTGATGAAGTCGAAGTTCCAGTACTGCATGCTGCTGACTGGACTGCAACACGTCAGCAACCTCGACCACGTCGACACTCCAGAAATGAAGGAGGGTGTTGGAAATGGTAAAAAGACTTAGGGCATTAAAGGAGTGTTGCATAGCTGTAACAAATATGCAAAGGACACAACATCAAGGATTACCAAGTCAAATCCTGCTACAGTACCTTTGACGGTTGACGCAGGTTGACGACACCTCACGACGGTTTCAAAAGGGCAGCGGTCGTAGACTATTGACCGTGCAAGCCAACAGTCAGAAGTACAGGAGTCGAAGTCAGCGCGACAACAAAAACAAATAACCGTCTCAGTATTACAGTACGAGTGGTTACCCAAGTCGCTCTTAACGAGTCGTAAAGGGTATGTAGCCCTCGAAGTGCATAAACAGTTAGACTCTTCATATTCCCTTGTATGATTATATAAACCTTGTATCCTTTTGCTATAATCAATTACTTGTTCTCACATACTAGTACAAGGGTTCACGCAAACTTCCGCTGCGCTATCAAGCACTCTGTTACAACGACTTAGTCTTCTTAAAAGAACTTAGGGCTATTCTCAGCCCAACAACCCTTACGCCCTTGGGTAAAATATGAGAAATTTTGAAATACATTTTAGAATTGGAAGATTATGACAAGTCGTATAAAGGGGTATGCAGTAAGGAGTCATTCGCTCCTTATCTTGTGGCAGGTCCACAGACCGGCCACCTAGTCTATTCATTTCTAGATCTCAATCTAGAACCCCTCCTTCCCTCCCATTTTCAGTACCTCTCATTGGTAACCCATGTTAACATTAATTACTAGTATCTTAGCGTAGGCTACCTATTCTTAAGGTAGCCTACGTTATGTATCTTGCACTGCAATCTAGTGTACCGTATGTATTGAGACCTATGATGTTATGACGACTACTCTGCCGAATCCTTGAGGAGACTTGTCTTGATTTTGATTCTATATGTTTTCTCTGCTAAGCCAGAGTTTTCTAATTACCACCCTGAGGGTCCCCCTATAGGGGGTACACCCCCAGGTTTTCGTGTACCCCCCTGTCTACATGCGTGGCCCCATATCCACGCGTGTTCATGCGGATTGCCCAGCTGGCCCACGCCGTACGATGCTAGTCCCGCCCTCGTTGGTGGAATCCATGGTCCCTATTGGACACTTGTGTTTTTCCTCACTCCCAATCCTCCTTTTCCAAGCCCTCTTTAGCCCCACCCCCCCCCCCCCCCCCCCCTCCATTTTAGCCTCTCTCTCACGACATTCGATCTTCATTTTTTCCCTTAGTCATTTTTCAGCAAATGCCTTCTCTCACTGCCAGAGTCTTCAATGTCTGTCGCGGTTGATCCCGACTCGACGATGGCGTCGGTGGTGGGGAGAATCCAGGTCCAGGCCCCTAGCGCTAGCTAAGTTCCATGCCCAACAACCGTGCTAGCATACTAGCAGATAATTCCATCCCACAACACATGGTACGGATGACCGTCATTTCCGGCGCTGCTACTATCGCTACTACGAAACGCCGGATTTGTTGGCTGTTGCCGCGCATGGGAAAATCATCGTAGCTGCAGCTGTGCATAGTGAGATCGTAGATGTTGCTGTGCATAGTGAGATCGTAGCTGTTGCTGTGCATAGTGAGATCGTAGCTGTTGCTGTGCATAGTGAGATCGTAGCTGTTGCTGTGCATAGTGAGATCGTAGCTGTTGCTGTGCATAGTGAGATCGTAGCTGTTGCTGTGCATAGTGAGATCGTAGCTATTGCTGTGCGTAGTGAGATCATAACTGCTGCTATGCATGGTGAGATCATAGCTGTTGCTGCTACTAGCAACAAAATTTCAGCTTAGACTGCTGTTGTTACGAGTGACGAGACAAGATTGCTGCCGCTACTAATTCAACCAGTGACATGATTGCTGCTTCTATGTGTGACATGATCGCCACGGCCGTTATTGCTGCTGTGTGTAACGATTTCCCGCCTCTGCTGCTTCGGCGGCACAGTTGCTACTACAGGTGACAAGTTCCTGCAGCTACCGCAGCTATGAATGTCACCCATTTTTACTGCCTTCTGCTGCTAGTGTGTATGGCACGACGATGCTGCTGCTGATGATGACGTGCTATGTTTTATTGCAAGGGCACCTGGCCCCCTAAAACCACGGTCTCTAATAACGTGTACGATTAAGAGGCTGAAGTTATGGCACCCTGACTTGTTAGAGTACAAAAATCCAAAACATTGGGTTACTCCGAAGTCTCACGGGCATGAGAGGGAGGGGGCCGCCGTGAGAGGGAGGGGGGCGCCGTGAAAGGGAGGGAGGCGCCGTGAGAGGGAGGGAGGCGCCGTGAGAGGGAGGGAGGCGCCGTGAGAGGGAGGGAGGCGCCGTGAGAGGGAGGGAGGCACCGTGAGAGGGAGGGAGGCGCTGTGAGAGGGAGGGAGGCGCCGTGAGAGGGAGGGAGGCACCGTGAGAGGGAGGGAGGCCCGTCAGAGGGAGGGAGGCGCCGTGAGAGGGAGGGGAGGCCCCGTGAGAAGGAGGGGAGGGAGGCGCCGTGAGAGGGAGGGGAGGGAGGCACCGTGAGAGGGAGGGAGGCGCCGTGAGAGGGAGGGGAGGGAGGCACCGTGAGAGGGAGGGAGGCCCCATGAGAGGGAGGGGAGGGAGGCGCCGCGAGAGGGAGAGAGGCGCCACGAGAGGGAGGGAGGCGCCGTTAGAGGGAGGGAGGCGCCATGATAGGGAGGCAGGCCCGTCATAGAGAGGGAGGTGCCGTGAGAGGGGGGGAGGCGCCGTGGAGGGAGGGAGGCCCGTGAGAGTGAGGGAGGCGCCGTGAGAGGGAGAGGGAGGGAGGCGCTGTGAGAGGGAGAGGGAGGGAGGCGCCGTGAGAGGGAGAGGGAGGGAGGCGCAGTGAGAGGGGGAGGGAGAGGGAGGGAGGCGCCGTGGGAGGGGGAGGGAGGGAGGCGCTGTAAGAGGGGGAGGGAGGGAGGCGCCGTGAGAGGGGGAGGGAGGGAGGCGCCGTGAGAGGGGGAAGGAGGGAGGCGCCGTGAGAGGGGGGAGGGCGGCTCCGTGAGAGGGGGAGGGAGGGAGGCGCCGTGAGAGGGGGAGGGAGGGAGGCGCCGTGAGAGGGGGAGGGAGGGAGGCGCCGTGAGAGGGGGAGGGAGGGAGGCGCCGTGAGAGGGGGAAGGAGGGAGGCGCCGTGAGAGGGGGAGGGGGGGAGGCGCCGTGAGAGGGGGAGGGGGGGAGGCGCCGTGAGAGGGGGAGGAAGGGAGGCGCCGTGTGAGGGAGGGAGGGAGGCGCCGTGTGAGGGAGGGAAGGAGGCGCCGTGTGAGTGAGGGAGGGAGGCGCCGTGTGAGGTAGGGAGGGAGGCGCCGCGTGAGGGAGGGAGGGAGGCGCCGCGTGAGGCAGGGAGGGAGACGCCGTGTGAGGCAGGGAGGGAGGCGCCGTGTGAGGGAGGGAGGGAGGCGCCGTGTGAGGGAGGGAGGGAGGCGCCGTGTGAGGGAGGGAGGGAGGCGCCGTGTGAGGGAGGGAGGGAGGCGCCGTGTGAGGGAGGGAGGGAGGCGCCGTGTGAGGGAGGGAGGGAGGCGCCGTGTGAGGGAGGGAGGGAGGCGCCGTGTGAGGGAGGGAGGGAGGCGCCGTGTGAGGGAGGGAGGGAGGCGCCGTGTGAGGTAGGGAGGGAGGCGCCGTGTGAGGGAGGGAGGGAGGCGCCGTGTGAGGTAGGGAGGGAGGCGCCGTGTGAGGGAGGGAGGGAGGCGCCGTGTGAGGGAGGGAGGGAGGCGCCGTGTGAGGTAGGGAGCGAGGCGCCGTGTGAGGGAGGGAGGCGCCGTGTGAGGGAGGGAGGGAGGTGCCGTGTGAGGGAGGGAGGGAGGCGCCGTGTGAGGGAGGCGGAAGAGGTGGGAGAAAGGCAGGGAAAGGCCCAAAATAAGGGTGGCTTCATGGGAGGGGCGTGAATATTTCATGGTTTTGGAAGGATTGGAAGAGAAAGGCGGGTGTTAAAGCCTGATTCTAGAATGGTAGAAAACCATGTTTAGTGATCATGTAAACAGTGCCAAAAACACTGGACGAAAATCATTTCAGCAAAGCTCCTCTTGCGAAAAATACTTCTCAGCGAAAAAAATGGGTCGCTCGCGACACAAAAGGAACCCAACAACTTGTAATCAACAGTGCGCAAACTGTGACGACTTAGGGGGTGGGGGTGCAAACTGTACAAAGCTTTTCCCGTGCAGCGAGTCTCGGCAAAAAATGCATCTAGAATGGTACCGGGCATTTTCAACTTCAGTATGAGTGAACAGAAAGTTAGAGGTTTGTCTCATATAGCGAATTTCGCACGTTGCCCCATTTCCCCAAGGGTCGCGACGTGGTGGTCCCCTTCACTTGGCCACCCCTACTTTTACAAAAGCAAGTTCAGGAGCCAACCAATGTAGACTCAGGCTTTAAGGTTGAGGAAGAAGTGCCTACCATACATAGAATGTGATGAACATGGAGGATGATGTGCCACTGTGAGAGTGTCCCTAGAATTGTTGGGAAGAAAGATTTGTGGAGAGGGGATTGTGCGAAGGGAGTCGTGCGAGGAGAAGGACCCTGCTGAGTTCCGGTTTCCGTTGGGACGTAGCAAAAAGGAAGGTTAAAACAAAATTGCAGCAAAGGGCAGGTGTGTTTCCGAAATCTAGAGTTTTGGTCTTCATGCGCCGCCCGTGGGGCTCGAACCCACGACCACAAGGTTAAGAGCCTTGCGCTCTACCAACTGAGCTAGGGCGGCTGTTCAGTGGAAAGACAAATACAAATTTTATCAAATACTAACTTGTTGTGTCGGATGCAGCTGTTTTAGGCTTGGTACATTTCACAAAGATTCCTCTACGGAAACGCCCTGAGGACGAACTGGCATTGCACCACAAATTCTGGCGTTGAAGGGTGAAACTCTCTTTCTCCACCGTTTGCCATGGCGGTATCAGTGTCTCCGTAGCATTTTCTCGCAACTGACGAAAGTTCTCGTGCAACTCGTTCCCATCTTCGACGCCTCTCCGGTTCCTTCCCGAGCGATTGATAAGTAGGACGATGGCGGTCATCGAGGAGCATCACGACGAACCCGACAGAGTCGAACCTCAACACGAGCCTGAATCAGCCGTGAATGAGCCTGAACTAGTCACAGCTGAGCCTGAGACAGTCGCGAAAGAGCCTGAGACAGTCGCGAACGAGCCTGAGTCAGTCGCGAACGAGCCTGAGTCAGTCGCGAACGAGCCTGAGATAGTTGCATCTGCTTTTTCGTCTGGTCCCTCCCTCGCGGCTGCTGCTGGCAGAGGCGGCGAAGAAGCGGGGGTAGGGGAAGAGCAGCCGCCTGTGGTGGTGGGGCGCGACGACGGGGAGGATGTGGGGGAGGGCGTGCGGAAGGTGGTGATCAAGCAAGGGAACAAGGAGAAGGGCACGCCTGACGTGGGTTGCACAGTTTTCGGTAAGACGAACTTACGTATTTCGTTTACTTTGTTCATAAGTCTCCTTGAAAATATGTGGGGGAGGGCGTGCGGAAGGTAGTGATCAAGGAAGGGAACAAGGAGAAGGGCACGCATACAGTGAGCTGCACAGTGTTTGGTAAGACCGTTATACATATGAATATATGCTTATGTATATGTCTTGACCTATTTCGAGTTCGCGTTTACAATTCTCTTTGATCTATCCCTTTCGTTCCCTTCATCGCCTTTGCCTTTCTGGCACCCTCCACTGCAGCATCAGTAGTTTCGTCTTTACTGCGAAGAATATTCTGCTTTGCTTGCCATACATTGGCATTTCATCTTTTACGAAATATATCGTTTTTATTCTCTCAGTCTCTGACTCCTGCTATCCGAGTTATTGCCATCTGTCCTTACATTCTGCAGTGCACTACCGTGCGTGGCTGGCAAACCCTGAACCTAATGAGAAGAAAGGCGATGGGGAGACGGACGAGGAGGGCGGGAAGAAGGATGGGGAGGGGAAAGAGCAGGGGAGGCAGAAGGAGAAGCGGAAGCATGCCAAGGTGTATGACACGTGGGATGAAGGCCAGATGACTGAGCTGATTGTGGGACATGGTGAGTGCTTCATGGAGGCATTGCAAGAAAGCAATCCTATTTAGGCTTTGTGTTCCGTCAAGGCGTGAGGCGCCACAAAACAAGGAGGTCCGGGTATGCCAAGGTGTTTCCACATTTATTTCTTCAGCATGTGTGCAGGATCCAGACACCCGCGCCATGTTCTTCTAGTTTTTTACCCGCCTTCGTCCCTTGCCTTCTCGCCCCCAATCCTCTCTGTTATGCCGCATTCTCTCTCGACTTACCAGAGAAGGCAGAGCTGCGAGGGTTGTCACTGGGAGTGCGGTCAATGCACCCAGGAGAGCGGTGTGTGCTGCGGGTGCCCTCAGCCCTGGCCTATGGCAGCCAGGGCTGCTTCTCCTTCCCCCACGTGCCCCCCAACTTGGACCTCCTGTACGAAGCAAAGCTCGTGGGCTTCGAGAAGCCGCCGGTAAGTAAGGAGGAGCGTTTTGACATAGTAGTTGCATAGCTGCGTAAGCATTGTGTGGCAATCTCAATGTAGTTGCTTTGTTGCACATTCCAAACCGTTTCTTCTAAACCCATGTATGTGTGAAACGGTGCAGGGTGGTGCAGATGGGTCGAGGGCACGGGATCGCTCGCAGATGACAGCGGACGAGAGGATAGAGGCGGCTGACAGGCACAGGCAGGCAGGCAACGAGGCGTTTCGAGGGGACAACATGGAGGAGGCTCTGCGAGAATACGAGATGGTAGGGTGGCATGGGGTGTGCATGGGGTGTTCATGGGGTGTGCATGGGGTGTGCATGGGGTGTTCATGGGGTGTGCATGCGGTGTTCACGGGGTGTGCATGCGGTGCGGATGGATGGTTGTGTGAGAGGATAGAGGCGGCTGACAGCACAGGCAGGTGGGCAACGAGGCGTTTACAGGTGACAACATGGAATGGAAGAGGCCATTCGGGAGTTCGAGATGGTATGGAGGCATGGTGTTTGCAGATGTGGGACATGGAGTGGAAGTTAGCTTTTTAGTTGATGCATGAATGCGGGTCCGTCATGTGGTGTGGGCAATTTAAAAGTTTGTGGGTATGCGATGATGAATGGCAACCACTGCCTCATCTTGAGTTCTCTTCTTTCCTCACGGCCTTTTTTATGCTTCAAGGACCTCTCTTTTTTTTCTCCCATGTTCCTTGTCCTTCAGGCCTTGGGCTACATGGGAGATGAGTTCATGATGCAGATGTTTGGCAAGTACAGGGACATGGCCAATGCTGTCCGCCTCCCGACTCTGCTCAACTCAGCTGCTGCTCACCTCAAGCTGAACAATTACAACGAGACAATCGGCCTCTGCACAATGGTACGGTTTTTGCTGATTATGCTTGTGGAAATTTCACATTGGTATTCCTCTCTGTGGACATTGTGTTTATTTGTGGTTGTCACTGTTTCATGCCCAACTCAAGGTGATTGGCGCAATGGCCTGGTCCTCACTGGATCTTTTCCCTATTACATTTACTACAATGTTCTGGCTTAACTGATGTTCTGTGGTGCCATCAAATAGTCCAATTCATCTGCTCGGCCTCCTCCAGGTGCTTTCTGAGGAGCCAGACAACCCCAAGGCACTCTTCCGCCGAGGCAAGGCAAGGCACGCCCTTGGACAGATCGAATCTTCAATGGCCGATATCAAATCTGCTGCCAAATGGGCCCCTGGAGATGCTGCTATTGCTCGTGAGCTGGCTGCTCTGAAAAGAGCCGAGCGGGAGGCTCTGGAAAAACAGAAAGAGATGTTCAAGGGCATTTTCAAGCCACAATCAGCAGCGCCTGTTGCAAATACAAGGATGCAGTGGTTGAGTGCAATTTGGAGGTGTGTTTGTGCTGTGTTGAGTTGGCTGTGGCCATTTGGGAAGAGGAAGGTTGACTAAGCTGGTTATGGAAACGGTCATGTTATACTCCCTTATGTGCACTTGATAAACACTCAATTTGGGCATACGGTACTTTCTTACTACCGGTATAATGCCTACAATAGTCATTTTTCAAGGGATCTTGAGCGTATCCTAAATATTGATGTTGAAACCATTGTAACCAGGGCTGATTTTATCAGACTATTTAGTCTGATTAGTCTGAAATTTCAGACCCATTTTTTGGGCAAACCTGAATTTCCAGATTGCCCATTTTCCCAATCCTGATCACTTCAGAGTACGATTTTAGGGATCCTGAAAAAATCAGACTTGTGGCAAACCCAATACTGAGTTTCCAGAGCACAGCGCGTACAGACCCTGAAATAGATGTACCTACTAACAACCTGCGACCCAGAAAATTTCGGCTAAGTCCCCGATCGCTAGACACATCCCCAACACACCCCACAACCCATCGAAAATTTCTGCCAGGTCCCAAAACGCTAGACATCCCCCACACACCCCACAACCCATTGAAAGTTTTGGCTAAGTCCCCGATCGCAAGAGACATCCCCCACTTCCCCACAACACATCGAAATTTTCGGCTAAGTGGGGTTATCAGACACATTCTCCCGAACACCTCGAACCCTAACAACCCAAACGCTTGGCTAAGTTAAAAACATAGATTTAACAGATATATTGCCCCCCACCCAAATACCCCCCACGACAGCTAAGATATGTCTTCCCACCCTCCGCAACCCAAGCAAGTAGACAAACCTTCTCTTACGGGAGGGGGGAGCGAAATGGAGGGGAAGGGGAGAGATCGAAAATGGAGGAGTAGGGGTGGATCGAAACTGGGGAGAGGGGGATGCTGGCGAATTGGGCAGTCTGAGAAATTTCGTGCCCTTGCAGCGCCCAGGCTGGGAATTCTTGGACGTCAATCGCTGTTACCATCGAACGGTCAAATCATGTCGAAACGATCGCAATCGATCGAGGCCGTCGAATTATGATATACTTTCAGTTGACCAAACGGGCAACTGACGAGAATTTCCCTAAAGGTACGACTGTTATAAGAAAATAGTTGTTACGTCTCTCCCCGTCTTGAGGCAAAAACGTTTTCATGCTAGAGTATTGTCGTCAGTACCCTTACAATTCAGGAGTACGCATCCAGCAACGAAACATAAACTGCTCCAAGCCCTTGAAAATTTTCATGAGGAAGTTGCTGGGAGCATTTTTTGAGCTGCATTCGAATAAGAGTCAGTTCGCACGTCGCAGCGACACGGGAGAGTCCGCGCCCTAAAAGTTTCCCAAAATTTCAGTCTCTATTTTTACTCTGATTGTACTCGCAGGACCCTGAGAAAATCAGACCAACTGAGTTCTGGACTCTGACGTTTCAGACTGCAGAAATTTTGGCTGAAGACCCTTCAGACTTTTTTTTTCCGAAGGGGTTGGTTCAGAGTGCCTTTTTTTGAAACGTCAGGCCTGATTGTAACATGTCATTGTGTTATCGATAGTGTACCTGAACGCTGGAAGTCTGCATCAGTTCAAAGCCGCCACTCCTCGCCCCCTGTTCTTCATTACGCCACCACCCCAGCAAGCACTCTTCACATTGCAGAAGCACACATTTTCCTCCATTCGGAAGGTTGGGCTTTACATGCAGTTACCATCCTGAAAGCATGACGCCTGGACGGCGTAGTCCTTCAAAGCATGGACCAGCTTCTCCTAAGGACAGGAATAACAGTGTGCAGGTGGAGAATGGACCCTGTGTTCGCAAAGATAGCCCTCGACCTCTACGAGAACGGCGTAACGTGAACATGTCAAACATCAACGTAGGGGACCGAGACATGGCAAAGGAGGAGACGAAGAGGTGCGACTTGCTCATTTCGCTTAGTGACATGTTTCAAACGCTCATGCTCACATCTGGTGCATAGGGATGAGGAAGAGAACATGGGAGACGAGATCAAAACCGATTCACCAACCATCAGTCCGAGGTCCATGAAGGCCGACGACGGAGCTGCACTCCCTGGAAACGAACGGGTAGGGTTTTCATGTTGTACAGAAAAGGGATTCGGATGCTTTATAATGTTGCTGTATGTGTCAGGTCACTGTCGCACTGAGGATCCGACCGTTTACTTCAGAAGAGTCGAAGGCGTATGGGAGGAAGGTATGGATGAGTAGTTCAACAGCGTAAGCTTGCTGAGTTCTCAAGCTAACCCTTATTCTCGTACAGGCGATTGCTGTTTTCGGAAGCAGAGTATTGGTATGCGAAGACATGATTCCTGCCGAAAGTCCAAAAGGACGAGGGAAGCGAGACGTGGAAAGCCCTCGTGCAGCGAACCATGAGTTTACTCTTCACTTCGTCCAAGATGACAATCTTACGCCTCCAACGGATCCAGCTATGGCTGACAACCTGCAATCCCGACTTTTTGAAGTCCTGGGGTCCCCATGTCTCAAAGCTGCTCTCGAAGGCTACAATGCCACTGTAGGAATATGGGAACACTGCAGACGCTGTTTAAAGCAAACAGTCCAATGATGTTCTTGAGCTGTAATGTGGTGGAGTTTTTTCAGGTCTTTGCTTATGGTCAGACAGGGTCAGGAAAGACGTACACGATGATGGGAGACGGGACATCAGCAGGAAGGGGAATGGTAATATCTGCATTTCCTTTCGCTAGGGCTTAATTACTTGCCTTGACCACTCGTGTGTGATTTTCAGGTTCCGCGCATTGCATCAGCTCTTCTGCAAAGGATGTCCTACCTGTATCATGGCGATCCAGAATGTCACATTCAAGTAGGCGGGTCTGGACTGTCGCTTTTGCTTGATTTACTTCTTTCTACTATCAGTTAAGAATGGTTTTTCCAGGTAAGCTTTCTGGAGATCTATCAAGAGAAGATAAGGGACCTTCTTACCAGCAAGCATCCTGGACATTCTGGGACGAGTGCAAGCGAGCCATTTACCTCTCCTGCTCGCAGCCAGCAGCAGCTGCCTGTAGAGGAGTCTGCTAATAAGGAGAGCGACATGTCAGGTTTCCTGCAGTCGCAGGCTCAGCATCTCAAGGATCACAACGCCTCATGTCCTCAACCGCCAAAGAAAGCCAAGCACTCCACAGAGAATGCACCACCATCACCAGCATCTCCTAGGACTCCAGCATCGCCTCGCTCACCAAGGTCGCCTCGGTCTCCATCCATTTCACCCATCTCCTCACCAAATGGTGGACAAGAGAAGCTCAAGATTCGAGAACATCCCAAATTGGGTCCTTACGTCGTTGGTTTGACGCGACGCTTCGTGACATCTTGGGAGGAGATGAAGGATGCTCTGACGGAAGGACAATCCAACAGGACCTTCGGAGCTACTGATATGAATCAGAAGTCCAGTCGAAGCCACACGGTTTTCACCATGACAATCACCCAGGTTTGTCACCCAGGTTTGGTGCATGCTTGATATTAATGTGAAACGTTTCTGACACTGTTCCGTTGCAGAAGGTGAAAGGGCAGGACGGCCTGGACAGCCAAAGGACGAGCCAGCTCAACATGGTGGATCTGGCTGGTAAGTTCGTCTTAGCGTAACTTTCAGCGACTGCTTGCAAGTTCACCTCTGACAATAAGATTCCAGGGAGCGAGCGACAGGCTCGCACACATGCGAGCGGGCAGCGACTTAAGGAGTCAGGCTACATCAACAGATCCCTGTCTCTCTTGAACAATGTAAGCTTTTAAACTGATCTTTTTTTGCTTAAGCGGTATGACAAGTCTTTCCTGTATGCAGGTGATAACACAACTCTCTCAAGGGAGTGACTTCGTGCCATATCGAAATTCCGTTCTGACCTGGCTGCTCAAGGAAAGCCTTGGAGGAAACAGCAAGACAGTGATGATAGCGAACATCTCACCTGCTTTCGAGGTATGTGTTGGTGGCAAAAAATCACCAGCGTCTCGTTATCAGTTAATCATCTTGAAATTGAGCAAAAATTCAGGATTTGAGAGAAACGCTAAGCACTTTGCGCTACGCGAATCGTGCCAAGCGCATTCAAAACAAGCCAACTATTAACGAAGATCCAAAGGACTTGACTATTCGCTGTCTGATGTCGGAAGTGAAAACTCTCCGCAAAATGGTGGAATCTTTGGCATTGCGGGCCTCCTTTCACCCTTCTGTTCGGCTCCGAAGTGTGGGAGTTCAGGTACATTATAGGTTGACTGTTTTCACTCCAACGAGCTTCTTTTCTTTCAAACTAATCTTATTTCATCTTTTCACAGGTGCCAGAATCGCCACAGCAGATGGAGTCATGTTTGGCCATTAAGCTTCCTCAGAAGCGTGACAGCTTTGCTTTTCGAGAGCCATCCTCGGCACCACTTGCCCTTCCATTCACGCCGCTGTTTCCTAATCCATTTCCAAAGCCGCATGTGTTAACGATTCCAGGCAGCCAGTCTGAACCTGTCATGAAAAGAAGGTCAAGTGCGATCGAGAGGGCGCTGTCATTTGGCATTACATCTCAGGTGGTGCAAAAAAGTGCTGCAAGTGAGGAGAATTCGAGGTCAATGCTCGTCAGTGGAGATACGGTTACACCACCGCTTCTCCTTAAGCAAGTCAACTCCACTGGCAGAACAGACAATGAAAAGCCCTTCATTTTTGGAGAGCTCCCTGCTGTCAAGTTAGCTGCTGCTGCTAATGCTCCAAATACCCTGACTGCACTGGAGTGTCAGACAGACTCTCTGATAAAGAAGCTGACGAATGTTCTGAAGAAGCCAGGCATAATGTCCAACTCTACCAAGTCGATCAATCCTGAGTCCACTAAGGCTTCATATCCATACTTCGTCCAGCTGTCTCCATCAGATGACGACACTAGCTCCGACACTACTACAGGTAAGCCAGAACAGCACAAATCTCTTTGGCTTTTCTTAGCTTCATGACCTCACGACTTGTCGTAAGCGTACTGTGCAGGTGTTCAGCATATTCTTCAGCCAGGAGTAACAAAGGTTGGATCCAGTAACGGAGCTGACATTCTTGTTCCTGGCCTCTTGGAAGAGCATTGTGAGGTCCTGCATATTCCTGGTCGACTGAACGGCAGTGGTCACAAGACAACCACCCGAGTCAGCATCTTGATCTATGGAAATGCTCTGGCAAGTGTTGATGGAAGGCCACTCCAGCGTTACGCAGTATTGGAGCATGGCTGCAAGCTCAAGCTAGGTGGTGGCAAAGGTGCCATCATCTTTCATTTCTTTGACCCAAGCAAAGAGGCACCTTAAAGTTACCGTATTGGTTTGTGTGGAGGTCTGGTTTCAGAAGATGAGAAGTTGGCAGGCAGTGAAGGGAAGGCTCCAGAAATAAGCACGTACCTGTGCACGACCCAAGACTGAGGGATTACAGACCTGTCGATGGTAATACAGCAATAAGCACAATCAGTGCAGAACTCATGATAACTTTACTTATACTGTGCATGAAGCTTTATTGCCTTCGATGATACTTCTGTCCATACAGCACAAACCATTGGTGGAAAGGGCATGACAGCAAAATCTAAACCAGGAGTGTGAAGAGCAGCCTCCCTGTGATCCAAGAGCGAATCAAACGTTTCACCTAATTCTCTTCATCGCTGCAGACTAAAGGCCATTGATAATGCTCCAAGCAGATTCACCACTCCAAGCTGCATAACATGAAGGAATAGTGATGAGAACGCTTCCCAAGAGGTCGTGATGGTCACGCATAAAGGAACTCAGCAGTCAAAACAGGAGATTGGCCTGCTTCACACAGCACTGATGGCACTTACCAACAAAATCATAGCTGGAACTGAGCCAGATGCCACAAGTGCACAGAAACTGAAGAAAAGAAACTGCAGGAGGAAATACCACATGAAACTTAGTACACAGATGGGCCTGCTGGAAAAAACCTCACGGCGACAATGATAAGGCAAAATTGCCCAAGTTCAACACAACACAACCGTCTGACTTACAGACGAAACGCAAAAACACAATTGTACTCACAATTCGGCCAACAACAGTTGCCTCATAGAAGCCTCGCACCCCTGAACCATTTCTTTCACCCCTGGCAGCACCCAGGTAATAGATGCCAAACACCTGAGCACAAAGCGTTGACAACTCTCCGTAACAACCATGAATGAACTAAACGCGTGAAACATAGTTGCAAGTAACTTTCAGCGAGGAAATAATTGATTGGAGGAATAAGCCAAGTAATGCGCACACCCATGGAAGATCGCCCTACACCAACACCCACCACAGCGAGAGTCCCCAGTACACGGATCCATCCAGGTGTCAACACATCACGGCCAAACAATAAACCTGGCACAACCCATTGGAGGAACACTCATCCACACAGCAGGAAGAGTGCAGAAGGGGAAACAAAGAGGAAAGATTCATGTGAAGAGGAGGAAAAATGAGGGTTAGTTGCCGTTGATAGCATGCCTACTGAAAATGAAGTTGTAACAAGTAAACAAGGGGAATGAAGGTTCAAGACCACAGCACCAGAACCATGGCAGGAGCCGAGTAAGGCAGCATAGCATTCATAAAGTTCGCATCTCAACCAGCACACACACAAAAGAAAGAGGAAAAACGAAGGAAAAACGGGTAAAACGGGAAAAACGGGAAAAAAGGGGAAAAAACGGAACATACCAAATGTGAAGGTGGGAAACGCTAGAGCCAAGGCACCAGCCACACAGATGTACGTCCCAGTCACCAGCGAGGCAATGGCAGTGCGCGAGAGCTGCTTCCCAGCCCCAGCTCCAGCCACAGTAGCAGCAGCTGAGGGCGGCTCCACGTGCCATCTGACGTCCATCAAGTGAGTGCTGGCCAGATGCGCCATCACTGGATCCGCCTTGCCCTGCCCATTCACCTGCTGCTGGCGCTGGTTGGGGCTCGCTGGCTCTATGCTGGGGAAATTTAATATGGTAGATGGAGCAGAGGATGGAGAAGAGCACGCAGGGAGAGGGAGGGTGCAGGCCCACGGGGGAACGAAGGAAAGGGGATAGTTAAAGAAGACGCAGAGGGAGGGAGGCTCCATGTGCCACCTGACGTCCATCAGGTGAGTGCTGGCCATGCTCCATCACTGGATCCGCCCTGCCCTGCCCGTTCACCTGCTGGCTCGATGCTGGGTCACTGGTCAAACGAACACTTTTGGATGCCCCTCAGCCTTCCCCTGTTCTGCCCACACCACCTCACTGGCAATCGCATTACACTGGGATCAATCGCCAGAGCAAACAGGGTCTACTCACAGAATCACATTGCACCGCTCATAACCTTGTGCCACTGTAACGCACCATACATGCCCCGGCTGATCGATAGAAGCCACTTCTGGGTGGGCCTCCACCCTCCTCTGTGCTCCCGACACCACCTCACTGGCGATCGCCAACGCTGGGGTCCATGGCCAGCGCAAATAGTGTGATTCCTAGCACCGCACTGCACCGCACATAACATTGTATCACTGTAACGCACCATATATGCCCGGACTGATCGATAGAAGCGACTTCTGGGTGGGCCTCCGCCTTCCCCTGTGCTCCCGACACCACCTCACTGGCGATCGCCACAACACTGGGGTCCATGGCCAGAGCAAACACAATGCTCCGCCTGTTGCCACCGCTCCCCGCATGCACCTTGCCTGCTAACCGCCCTAGCACAATCACGTCGCCCCCTGCTCGCACCACGGCTCCAGGGCTAACGTCTCCGTATACCTGTGGATGGGGATGGTGTGGGAAGGAAGCAGGGATGGGGCATGGAGGTCGGAGGAAGGAGAGGGGCAGTCGTCCCAGCGCTGGGGTCCATGGCCAGAGCAAAAACAATGCTCCGCCTGTTGCCACCGCTTCCCGCGTGCCCCTTGCCTGCTAGCCTTCCCAAAACGATCGCGTTCCCCATCAGCGAACAAACTTATGGAGAGTCAAAAGAAAGACATACCACACCTGCCAGCTAAAATCGCCATACACCTGTCAGTGTGGGGGGTTGGGAGGAGAGAAGGGAGGCTCGAGATGTGCGGAAACGAGTGCCGTTGCCTCCGCTCCCCGTCTGCACCATGCCTGCTAGTCTCCCCAGCAAAATCACATCGCCTGCTGCTCGCACCACCGCTCCCGCACCTCACGTTGCCATAAAACTGTGAATGGGGTGCGGAGGGGGGAAAGGGGAGGGGGGAAGGGGAGGGGGGAAAGGGGAGGGGGGAAAGGGGAGGGGGGAAGGGGAGGGGGAAGGGGAGGGGGGAAAGAGGAGGGGGAAGGGGAGGGGGGAAAGGGGAGGGGGGAAAGGGGAGGGGGACGGGGAGGGGGGAAAGGGGAGGGGGGAAAGGGGAGGGGGGAAGGGGACGGGGGAAAGGGGACGGGGGAAAGGGGAGGGGGGAAAGGCGAAGGGGAAAGGGGACGGGGGAAAGGGGACGGGGGAAAGGGGACGGGGGAAAGGGGAGGGGGGGAAGGGGAGTGGGGAAAGGGGAGCGGGGAAAAGGGAGGGGGCAAAGGGGAGGGGCAAAAGGGGAGGGGGGAAGGGGAGGGGGGGAAAGGGGAGGGGGGAAAAAGGGAAGTGGGTTAGGGGGAGGGGGAGGGGGGGGGGGGAGGAAGGGGAAAGGGGATGGGCGATGGTGTCGCTTCCTGCTCGCACTACTCACCTACCTACTTTCAAGCCTAACTCAAAAGTGGGTAGGAAAGTAGTGCGCCATTTTTGCACCCGTTTACAATTTCTGTACACGCTCGTTACACGCTCGTTACACGCTCGTTACACGCTCGTTACACGCTCGTTACACGCACAATGACGGTGCCATCATAGCTGATCTCCTCGAACTGCCGGATGCTCCTCTTGATGTACAGACACGTCACGCCTCGAGCCTCCAATTGCCCTCGGCTCTTCCCCGTCTCCTCCAGCCAATCCCTCCTCGCCCTTCCCCCATTCCCTCCCCCCTCCTCTGCCTCTTCCATACTCCTCCCTCTCTCCCCTGACCAGTCCTTTCCTATCCTTCCTTGGTACCCTTCCTCCTCTAGACGATTTCCTCTCAGCTTCGTCGTCTCCTCGTTCCAATTGTGCTGGTGCTGCTGCTGCTGCTGATGCTGCTGCATAACTCTCTGCTGCTGCTGATCTTGCTGCCGCCAGTTCTGCTGTTGTAGTGCTTGCTCTTGTTGCTGTTGCCAACTCTGTTGCTGCTCCTGCTGCTGTAACGGCTGTCGCTGCAGTGACTGCTGCTGCTGTTGTTGTTGTTGCTCTTGCCGGTGCTGCTGTAATTGTTGCTGTTGCTGCAGCAGCTGCTGTCGCTCCTGCCACCGCTGCTGCTGCCGTCTCCCCCCCGGAAGCCACTGATTCCCTGAAGCAGCTACTGAGACGTCTCGCCCCGAATCCCGAAAACCATCACTTTCAGGTATTCTCCAAACACCATGGACTAGTATAGGTTTTCTGTCATAACTATATCGATCCTTCTGTTTAAATCGCCTGAATCTCTCCGCGGAGGTAACGGTTCTGTCTTCTGAAAGGCGTCTGTTCCAAGACGAGGAATGCAGAGAATTTGGCGGACTACTGCCTAGTCTAAGCGTCATGGGTCTAAGACCGACCTCCATCAGATCCTACAGATTTACAAATGTTCGCAACTGCTTCCGACTGTTCGTGACTGTTTGCAACTGTTTGCGACTGTTTGCGACTGTTTGCGGCTGCGTACGCTATCTACATTTGGACATGGCTTCGGGATTTGCTATAGAGGCTATGGAGACTTGTCACCTGCCTAGCTGCTATTCTAGGAGTAAAAAAAATGAATCGTCACCTCTGCAGGCATGTCCAGCACCAGGAGGATGTGCACTGACGGGAATGAATGATGTGGATCAACTCGTTGAGAGAGTGTTGCAACGAAAGTAGACAATGCTGGTGTCACCTTGAGGACGTGGACACATGCGTCCGAATTGCCCTAATCGATCCCCGTCCGGATCATTTCAAAGGTTTTCAAAAAAGTTTTGATATGGTGCAAGTACATGCAATGTGTTTAGACGCGGTACTGTTCGAGGTTCGGAAAACGACCTTGCAAACCGGACGCATTTTTCCACGTCCTGAATAGCCACAGCTATGACAAACACAAGCGAAATCGCCTTTTCTCCAGCTCAGATTCCGACTCAGGAGCATCTTCATTATTTCGTAAACACGCCATACGCTGGGGGTGTCAGTTTCATGGGGTGGGGGAGAGACGGGTTGTAGAACAAAGCGGTTTTGGCGGGAAAACAGCTCCTGATCAGCAGGCCTTGCCATTTGTTTAAGGCAACATCTGACCCCGTTATATTGTGCACTGCAGGACTACACTATTGTCTTACAGCAGCGATTTCGTGCTGGAATAATGAACAGGCAACGTTATGATAGGTTTTCAGGTTATATGGCTTCATGGGCATGGTTTGGGTACAAAGTTAGTTTTGAATAGTGGTTATTACAAATGAAGGAAGAACACATAAATCCCCATATATTGGGGTCATAAAGGTTCACGAGGTCACATAAACGTGTACCATACTACTATTTATTACTGGGTAAACTAGGTCTAGCAAGATCAGCAGTCCTCAGCGCGATATGTTTTCTCGTAGGGTCCGCCGGACAAGGCGCGTTAGCGAGCACTAGTTTCAGAGCCATGCAGTGCAGCGCGTCTGTCGCTCGAACGCGTTCTGTGAAGCACTTATGATACGTAACGTCGGTGTCAGAGCCTAAACCATCACCTGTTTGCCGGTGTCAGAAACCCATCTCATTAATCCGTCCCGTTTTTGACGATCCTCGTGCTTGGTCCCTGACCAAACTCTTTCTCCCCCCGGTTCCCTTACCGTAGACAATGGCGCGAGAAGGCACCACAGCGCGCCGAGCCTCGAACACCGTGAAAGTGTCGTTTCAGCCGTTCGATGTGGACTTCCATCCGACGGCCCACCTGCTCTCTGTGTCGTTCATCTCCGGTGTCGTGCAACTGTGAGATGCGACGGAGGGGTGTAAGCGCTTGAGGCACGCGAGTGTGCTTATGGCGAGGGGAGAGCATGGAGGGGTGGACAGAGTGGTGTGGGATTGTGAGGGATGCATTTGCGGGATGAATTCTAGGGATAATTTTGAGGGATTGGATTTTTTGGTCGGCAGCAGGGAAGCGAGACAAAGGGCAAGCAAACAAGATAGAAACAGGTGCTACACTCCTTGCATTCTTTCGGGTGTGTGCTTTCGGTAGCACCAGGAAATGAGAGTGGCATAGTATGGCGAAGCATAGTATGGCGAAGCAGTAGTGGCATGCTGCATCGACGCCTTGCATTGCTCGCTCTGCTGTGTTCAGAGGAGCCTTAGATGCTGCGACTATAGGTGTTTCCACTGGCCAGGGTTGAGGGTACAGGTTTAGGGTTTTAGGGCATTCAGCAGGTGTTAGGACACGTGTATGGGATTACGGGTTTCGGGTATACGTTCTTTGAGGAAATAGCGTGTGGGCGTTGATGCTGGTATGGGATTGTAAGTGCATCAATACATGCCTCAGGGTTTTAGGTATGGCGTAAAGCATCCGTGGACAATGGTGTGGTAATTTCCAGGGGCATTGGTTTGTCATTTTCAGGTGTGTTCTTTTCAGGTGCGTTTTGGAAGCGTACATTTGAGGCAGTGCGTTGTGGTACGGCATAGTGTAGCTTGACCTAGCGCATGCACGTCCACCTTCTGCCATGAGCTAGCTAGCTAGCTTTCCTTTCCCACCTCCACTCCACTCCTCATTTGCCCACTTTAAGCAGTGGACTGAATACCCCTCAATGCTTCTCCGCCTTACCCAGATGTGTCCAACTCATCCCTTCCCCATACGCTACTGCCATTGGCTCGCAGGTTCGATGTCGATCCAGCCACATTGCAGTTTGAAAGGTGCGCTTACTCCTAAAGATAGTAACCCGCATCGCACCACTATCTCCCTTCTGCAACACATCCCAGCACCACGGTTTGGTGCCATGCCCACGTTAGTTCCATATTTTCTGTGCTAGAACACGCAATACCATGCCCAGTAAAACCAGATTATGCCATCCCATCCGGTACCAAACCAACCCACCCATCCCATCCCATCCCATCCCATCCCACCCCATCCCACCCCATCCCGTCCCATCCCATCCCATCCCATCCCATCCCATCCCATCCCATCCCATCCTTCCTCATCTGACTGATTCTCCCGACCCGACCGTATCCCACCCACCCAACCAACCCCCAACCCAACCAACCATCCTCCTCCCAGCAAGTGGAAGAAGAGGGGCCACACGGACTCGTGTCGAGCTGCTCGATTTGCTGCCAACGGCCGATGTGAGTGCGGGCTGGTGTGTGTGAGTGTGGGCTGGTGTGAGTGTGGGCTGGTGTGAGTGTGGGCTGGTGTGAGTGTGGGCTGGTGTGAGTGTGGGCTGGTGTGAGTGTGGGTTGGTGTGAGCGTGGGCTGGTGTGAGTGTGGGCTGGTGTGAGTGTGGGCTGGTGTGAGTGTGGGCTGGTGTGAGTGTGGGCTGGTGTGAGTGTGGGCTGGTGTGAGCGTGGGCTGGTGTGAGTGTGGGCTGGTGTGAGTGTGGGCTGGTGTGAGTGTGGGCTGGTGTGAGTGTGGCTGGTGTGAGTGTGGCTGGTGTGAGTGTGGGCTGGTGTGAGTGTGGGCTGGTGTGAGTGTGGGCTGGTGTGAGTGTGGGCTGGTGTGAGTGTGGGCTGGTGTGAGTGTGGCTGGTGTGAGTGTGGCTGGTGTGAGTGTGGCTGGTGTGAGTGTGGCTGGTGTGAGTGTGGCTGGTATGAGTGTGGGCTGGTGTGAGTGTGGCTGGTGTGAGTGTGGCTGGTGTGAGTGTGGCTGGTGTGAGTGTGGCTGGTGTGAGTGTGGCTGGTGTGAGTGTGGGCTGGTGTGAGTGTGGGCTGGTGTGGTGTGAGTTCGCCTATCACCGCATCTCACCCTTCTGCACCCATGACCAGCGAGCGCCTATTTACAACAGTTCTGGCGTGGGTAAGAGTGAATGAGTCTATACTAGTATGCAATGTGCATGCAAGTGGCATGACCATTTGTGCTCTGCTTCCTCCCTCTCGTCTCCCTTTCCGTGTGTAATGAGTCTATATTTTAGTAGACTAAAAAACTTGGCTGTGCTTCCTCCCTCTCGTCTCCCTTCCCCTCCCTGTCAGTTGTGGTGTCAGCAGCAGCAGCAGACATGACTATTGTGGTGTGAGAGGCGGTAGTGACTGGTGATCCATTCCCCTATCTCCTCCCCTTCCATCCCCTTCCGCCCCCCCTCCAGCTGTGGTGTCAGCAGCAGCAGACAAGTGGATTGTGGTGCGACATGTGGGGCGACTTGTGGTGCGACATGTGGTACAACATGTGGTGCGACATGTGGTGCTGACTGCTGCTAATTCTCCCCTCCAATCGTAAACCCGCTTCCCTGATTCAAACCAGTCGTGGTGTCAGCAGCAGCAGACAAGTCCATTGTGGTGCGAGATGTGGAGACAGGGGAGAGAGTGAGCAAGGTTATGGGCGCTCATAGGTGAGTGGGTCATAGGATCTCTCACGTGTTTCCATATCTCTGCTTGTTTCTTTGTATGCTAACTCTTCTGATGTTTTTGGCAAACCCCCCCTCCCCCCCCTGCCCCCCCCCCTTCTTTTTTTAACAAATCTGGTAAGGCTTCTAACTGCCTTAAAAAAATAGAAAACAGAAAAAACACTAAGAAAGAAAGATTTAACATCCTCTTTCGCATAGCAGTGAGGGGGCTTCAAACGGTAGGAGTTGAGCCTCATTGGACACGCACAACTGCTTTTGCAGCTGTGTCTGAAGATTTTGAAAGTTAAAGCCGCGATTGTCTTGCCTGAATCTGGTCCTGGTGTACAGTGAGGGCATCAACCGGCTGGCCTGCTGGGGCGATTCGTGTGTGGCTTCTGGTGATGATTCCGGCACAGTCAAGGTGAGTCAACGCCAGTCAAGTTGAGTCAACGCCAGAAAGGGCGAGTCAATGCCAGTCAAGGTGAGTCAACGCTAGTCAAGGCGAGTCCACTATGGTCAAGGTGAGTCAAACGCCAGTCAAGGTGAGTCAACACTAGTCAAGGCGAGTCCACTATGGTCAAGGTGAGTCAAACGCCAGTCAAGGTGAGTCAACGCCAGTCAAGTGGAGTCCACTCTGGTCAAGGTGAGGCAACGCCTGTCAAGGTGAGTCAACGCCAGTCAAGGTCAGTTTGTCAGCCTATATCTGCATCTATGTAATTAAATTAGAGCTACAGTGCCAGCAGATCCTCATCCTCCAACACATTCTGTTAGATCTGCACTTTGTTCTCCCTGTGCATGCAAGTAAGTATGTGTCCATCATTCGCCGAGTCGCCTGTTTAATTGTGCATGAGCCGTTATGGGACCCGACGGCTGTGCTTTCATTGTGGCATTTTAGTAACGAGCTGACTTCTGAGTCAAACTCAAAAGCCAGCCATGGGACCTAAGGCACGACGGCAGGCGGTGCTTTCAGCAGCGCAGCAGCAGCCATGCAAGTGTCTTCTTACAGCAGCCATGCAAGTGTCTTCTTACAGTGTCCTTAGATCAGAATTCTCTCTGACATGCGACCCCTCCCCTCCCTCCTGTTTCTATGTACGCTCCTGCTTGTTTGAGCATGTGAGCAGCTGTGGGACCTAAGGCAGGACGGCAGTGCCATTAACAGCACAGCCTCAGTGCAAGTGGCATCAGACTATCTCACTGACATCCGACCCCTGCCCTCCTGCAACCGCCTTCTCACGTCCAGTGGTGACGGCTCCATGGCTGTTGTGGACCTCGCAACCAACAGAGTACGCGCTTGTGACTATCCCCTCCCTCCCTCCCCTCCCTCCCTCTCGCCCTCCCTCCCTCCCTCCCTCTCCTACGCTCCCTCTCCTACTTTGCAATTCTCTCTGTTTCTTTTTATATGCTGGCAACCCTTCCGCTCTCACCAAACGCACTCACATGCACGCATGCTTGTGCGTTTGTGTTCGTGCTCTGCATATCCCTACATGCGTGCTTGGACTGATGAATTTGCATGTGTGTGCCCGTGTGTGCCCGTGTGTGCATGTGTGTGCGTATGTGTGCATCCATGTTCGATTGCGTGTGTGTGCATGTGAGTGTGCCTGCGTGTCCATGGTGCATGTATGTGTGCCCATGTGTGTGCATGGTGTGTGCATGGTGTGTGCATGGTGTGTGCCCGTGTGTGTGCCCGTGTGTGCACCCACTTCTGTGTTTCTGTGTGTGCTCCTACTCGCGCTCACCCATGCAGGTTGTAGCACACACTGACAGCACTGACGATGATTTGCTCTCAGTTGTAGCAGTCAAGGTGTGTCTCTGCATCTGTGGTTGATTCATGCCTCTGTGTGTGTGCATGGATACAAGGGAGGTCGCATGCAGCTCATGCAGGTTGCAGCACGTTCCTGCCTGTGCTAGATGCTCATTTCCCACGCATATGCCCTCTCTCTCTCCCTTGCCCATTGTTAAGTAGTTCAGTTTTGAGCCCTTTGCCCCATTGTTACATCTCAAAACTTATGCCCTCGCTCCCTTGCCCATCGGAGCGACTCCAAGGTGTTCTGTGGCTCTCAGAGCGGCCTGTGTGATGATTTTGGTAGATTCCCCTGCTTCCCCTTATCCCCTCCCATATCCCCTCCCATGTCCCCTCCCATGTCCCCTCCCTTATCCCCTCCCATATAGACATGATCAAAATGCGATTGCGATTTAAATAGCATCGCACAGGGGCGCGATAAAAAAAGAAGCGATGCGATTTAATATCGCATCGCGCGATTTTTTTTTTTTGAAAAAAATAAATCGCACATCGCATTTTCTGTGCGATGGTTATTTAAACCGCATGCGATGTTTGTTTAAATCGCGCGATGCGATTTTAAATCGCATCGCATTTTACTTAAATTAAAAAAAAAACCTCAGAATTCCGGAAAAAAAAACACCGATGGAATTTCGGCCACAGGCAGATAGCGCGCGATAAAAAAAAAATCGCAAATCGCAATTTAATCGCGATTTCCAGAGCGATTAAAGCGCGATTTAAATTAAATCGCGCGATAATTAAATCATCGCATCGCGCGATTCATTTAAGAAAAATTGCCATCGCAAAAACGCGATTAAACGCGATGCGATGCGATTTAATCTGCCCACGTCTACTCCCATATCCCCTCCCATGTCCCCTCCCTTATCCCATCTCTCCCTTAACCTCTCAGAGTGACTCCAAGGTAGTGTGTGGCTCGCAGAGCGGGCTGCTCTATTTCTTCAACATGAGTGGGGCGGAGAGGGACAAGTGAGTGAGTGTGACAATAGGAGAGTGTGAGTGAACGAATCTGAGTCAAAGAGTGTGATACAATGGAATGAGACAGTACTGAGTGTGACAGCATGTGAGCATGTCTCTCAGAGTGGGCTGCTCTATTTCTTCAACATGAGTGGCGCCGAGAGGGACAAGTGAGTGTCGGACAGATGGGTGTTTCAGTAACGAGCGCTACACTGTTGAGAGTGACAGTAAAAGAGTGTGACCGGATGGAGTGTGACAGCATGTGAGCTTGTGGCTTCAGAGTGGTTTGCTCTATTTCTTCGACACGAGCCCGGTCGAGAAGGGACAAGTGAGTGAGTGACAGCTGAGGGTGACAGCAACGATTGTTACAATGTTGAGAGTGGCAGCAACGAGTGTGCCTCGATAAAAGTGATTTTAAGTGAGCTTCTGGCTCTCAGAGCGGGCTTCTGCTCTATTGCTTTGATCTTCCATCTTTGTCTCTTCAAGCCCATATGTCTCTTCAAGCCCATATGTCTCTTCAAGCCCATATGTCTCTTCAAGCCCATATGTCTCTTCAAGCCCATATGTCTCTTCAAGCCCATATGTCTCTTCAAGCCCATATGTCTTCTCAACCCTCACATGTGCTCTTATCCCTGCTCTTCTCCCATGCGTGTTCTCTCTGTTGTCTCACAGCGATCTCTTTCGGTCTCCACAGGGGTTCAGTAGACGCCCACCTGCCTGTCTCACCGGTGCTCTGTCCCCTATTCCATGTTCCTGCGGTGCTCTTGTGCCTGCTCCCGTCCCGTCTCGTGTGTGCTCTCTCTGTTGTCTCACAGCGATCGCTTTCGAGGCCACGGGGGTTCAGTAGACACCATTCTGCCTGTGAGTCTTTCGTTCCTTTCCGCCCTTCTCTCTTCCTTGCTTTGCCTTCCGCTCGTTTTTCTTCTGCTGGTCGCCTATCTTAGTGATCCTTACCTCAGCAGCAATAACATCTTCTTTCTTACAACATGCTGGGATAGAGCCATTTGAGTGCTTAAGTTCGTCTCTAGTTTTCTCCCCTTCTCCTTAACTTCCAATCCTCTCCCTGCATTCTCCTCTCCTCACTCTTATGGCCCATGCCCTCGCCCATACCATACCCTCGCCCATACCATACCCTCGCCCATACCTTAGCCCATGTGCTCTCATGGCGACGCACTACCACGAGCCTGTTCCAACGGCTTAACCTGAGTGCGGTCTCCCTCCTCTCCCTCCTCTCCCTCCTCTCCCTCCTCGCCCTCCTCTCCCTTCTCCCCATATCCCCACTCCCCCTTCTTCCCTGTCCCCCTTCGCCTCATCCCTGCCCCACTTCCCCATCACTCACTGCCCTCCTCCAAGTACATGAGGAACCACTGCTGCTCACAAAGTGCTCCTGACGGGGTCATCAGAGTGATATCCCAACTGCTTTTTCCTCATATCCCCTCCACTCCCCTCCACTCCCCTCCACTCCTAAGTCATCCCCTCCTCCCAACCAGCTAGACAACGACTCTCTACTGACAGCGTGCTCCGACAGGCTCATCCGGCCCGACCCGCGTTTCCTCCTGTTCCCTCCCCTCCCCTCCACTCCCCTCTCTCCTCTCTCCCTCCCACCAGCTAGACGACGTCACATTACTCACAGCGTGCTCGGACGGGCTCATCCGAGTGCTCTCGGACTTCCCCAGCCGCTTCCCACGTCCAACCCCTCCCCTCCTCTGCCCTCCCACCTCCTCTCTTCGTGCCTTCTTCGTCGTCTAGCTCGTTGACGTCACATTACTCACAGCGTGCTCGGACGGGCTCATCCGAGTGCTCTCTCTCTCTCCCCCAACCTCTTCGCACCCCTCCCCTCCTCTCCCCTCACACCTCCTTTCTTCGTGCCTTCCCCCCACCAGCTAGACGACGACACACTACTCACAGCGTGCTCGGACGGGCTCATCCGAGTACTATCTGTCTTCCCCAACCGGTTCCTGGATGTGGTGGGCTCGCACACGGATGCCGCAGTGGAGGCACTTGGTGAGTGGTTGGGGGCTGTGAGCGGTCACGGGTCCAATGCTGTGTCATCATTACCATGCCGCTATGCCTGGATCTGCACGGCACGGCTCTCTCTTCCCCCACCGGTTCTTGGATGTGGTGGTGGGCTCGCACGCGGACGCTGCAGTGGAGACACTCGGTCGGTGAGTAGCTGGGGCTGTGGGTTGAAGAGTCGTGGCATGGAGCCCTCAACCACCCCGCACATGAATTTTTGAGGCGCCTCAAAAATCAACCATCCCGCGCATGAACCCCCCCAACCCCCCCCCCCCCCCCTCCCTCATGTGTGAGCACATGCGACCCCCACTTCGCCCATGTGTGAGCACATGGGACCCCCCTTTCGCCCATGTGTGAGCACATGGGACCCCCCCTTCGCCCATGTGTGAGCACATGGGAACCCCCCTTCCCCCATGTGTGAGCACATGGGACCTCCCCTTCCCCCATGGGACCCCCCTTCGCCCATGTGTGAGCACCCCCTGAGAGTACCCCCTTCCAGCACTGTCGTATGTTCACAGTCTGTTGCAGTTTTTTGCACGAATTGAAATAAAAACTACAGATTATTGTGAGCAATTCTGAAGCCCTTCATCCATCCCGTTCTGTTCCCCCCCCACAAACACCCCCCCTCCCAAACAGCACTATCCCATGACCAGAAGCTGCTCGTTAGGGCCGGTCACGACCAGCACTTGAGTCGACTCAAAGGCAGGCTTATCCGGCCCATTCTGCGTGACTCCACAACCTCCCCCCTCCTCTCCCCCCCCCGTTCCAGCACTATCCCATGACCAGAAGCTGCTCGTTAGTGCCGGCCACGACCAGAAGATCAAGGTAAGAAGTTTGAGGCGCCTAAAATGTCTGCTCATAAGCTCCTGATATTGCTGGTCACAACCAGAGGATCATCGAGATATGCTGGTTTGTTCATTGAGGTACGATACTTGGTAGTGCCCGTCACAACCAGAGGATCAAGGAAAGGGGGCTGGAGAAGCACGGTGTGCAGAGTGCTCTATGTGGCTGCCCAGTCTAGTCTAGGCAATAGGTATGTGACGGTGCTTGCTAGAGCCAGTCACGACCGGAAGGTCAAAGCAGAAGGACTGGACTTGCTGTGATGTCAGTCATAGCCCTAATAGCGCTACCTGCCCAGTAAAATGCTACACTTCTTTTCTTTAAAGCCGTGGTACACATTCCCTGGAATATGGTGAATGCTACAGTGTGAGTTTGGGAAAATAACTGATTGGGCAGCGAGAGTGGCGAAACTGCCGGAGGCTAGGCGAGAGCTGTCATTTCGTCACAGTCGGACAGGCCAAATCGTATCAGCGGAAGCGGGAAAGCAGAGGGGGGGGAAATCGGGGGGGTGCAAGTGGGGACGAAATCGGGGGGGTGGGAGCTGTATGTATTCATTCGACATTGAGGGCGGGGGAAACGAAATTGAGGCAGGGGGTCAAAACTGCAGGGGGGAACCGCGGGGGCGCTACAAGGGGCGGAACGGGGACGAATTCGGGGAGACCCGATTGTAAACATTCCCCCTCTTTCCCCCTCTTTCCCCCTCTTTCCCCCTCTTTCCCCCTCTTTCCCCCTCTTTCCCCCTCTTCCCCCCTCTTTCCCCCCCTCCCTCCCTCCCTCCGTCTCTCCCTTTCCACCTAGGCATGGGATATAGATGGAATCTTAGATGAGGAGGAGGAGGGAGAGGAGGGGGGGGAGGCAGAGGAGGAGGAAAGGCAGGAAGAGGAGAATGAAGCAGGGGAGGGGGGAAATGATGCCAGGGCAAATGGAAAGGATTCAGCCGAGCTAGGCTCTACTGCTGCTGCTGTTGCAGCTGCTTCTGCTGCTGTTGAGGAGGATGAAGGAGGGGGGAGGGGAGAGGAAGGACAGGCAGGGGGGGATAAGGCGCAGAAAAAGGCTGGTAGAAACAAGGGTGACTGTAAGGGGAGTGACAGTGACAGTGACCGTGGTGGAGATGGCAGGGGTGGCGACTCGGACAGCAGTGACGACGACGGGGGCAAGGGAGGTGAGCTGTTTGTGCCTTGTGTTTGACCCATTCACATGTTCCTTAGATAACTGTAAGGGGAGTGAGAGCGACAGTGACCGTGGGGGAGGTGGCAGGGGTGGTGACTCAGACTGCAGTGACTGCGACGGGGGCAAGGGAGGTCAGCTGTGTGTGCTTAGAATGGGACCCCTCCGTGTGTTTCCCCCCCCTCAAAAATCCGTTCCACGGAGGTGCGCGAGTGCATGAAGGACGGCGTTCATACACACTCATGCTGTTGCTGCTGTCTTTCCTTGATTCACCTACTCATACTCATCCACTCACCCACTGGCCCACTCTGTGTTCGTTTTGGCCTTTTTGCCATTGCAGGGAGGAAGAGACGGCGCTCGCCCAACCGTCGTGGGAATTTCAAGGCGCGTGGATGCGCAATGACGGATTTCTTTAGGGACATTGAATGACACGGGTGCCAGCTAGGATACTGCTGGATGTAGTATATCTTATCAGCGCGTAACACCAACACAAGATTGTATGAGGGGTTCTTTCTATGGCACTAGAATGCATTTTCTGTTTATCTTTATTATCTGCGCTCCAGGTTGGACTTGTAACGGATACATATCGATTCACATCGCGTACCGTCAAACGGCTCTGCGTGTCAAAATCGGGAACAAAATTTTGGGGCCACACCCTCAGTCAAGCACACAGCAGGTGCGCGATGGAATGGCATGGCAGGAGCGAGCGCCAGCCAGCCATCCACCATCCAGTTATCCCAGAGCGTGAGGGGGGCGTTGGGCAATCCAAACGAAAAAGCAGCTGGGAAGGTCAGCTCATGGCATTTGTCAGGGATGAGGACAATGTGACAGGACAGGACAGGAGTCACAGGGCTGGAGGATCCATCCATGCTGCGAAGACGTTGTGAAGAATGACCAAATTAGATGATGTGCGCTGATCGGATCAGTATAAGTCGCTAATTCCCTGACAGCACGCGATATCCGCCCATCCTCGCTCCCCTCCTTAGCTTCTCGCGCTGCCTCCGCTCCCCGGGAGAGGGACGACCTAAACGGGCCGTTGTGTTTTGAGTCGACTAAAATTGCAGCCCGTGATATCCAACCATGGCCGAGCCTAGAACTGTCGGCCGCTCCCCCTCGCTCCCCTCCTTAGCTTCTTCCCCCGCTCCTTCCGCTCCCGCCACGAAACCCGTGGGAAGGTCATCCTCGAAACGCGTAGGCCCGATATATCTACTAGTGCTTCCGATCGTGTTCTTTCTCGGAATTCTGAGTGGGGGATGGACCTGTCAGCGCGGCTACTGGCAACGAGTGATGTCATTAGATAAAGATCATTATAATGATGCAATTTCGGTTAATTCCACCCTAGATTCTGCAGCAAGTTCCGTGGTTGTAGATTCTGCCGGCCATGCAGCCAATCAGATCGCAGCTTCGACTGCCGTCCATGACGATCAGTCAAAATCTTCCGTTAGATCCTCGCCGTCCATTAAGGCTAATGTTTCTGACCAGCTTCTAGATTCAGATACCCTGCTTCGATATAAGGCAGGGATGGTGGGTCTTAGTGAGTCATCCGTCCAACCTCCGAAGCTCGCCTTCCTGTTCATGACACGTGGCCGTCTCCCATTGGCTCCCTTCTGGGAAAGGTTCTTCAAAGGCCATGAGGGTTTCTTTTCGATATACATCCACACGGCTCGCGAGTTTCGTTATAAGCCGGGGGACCTTCCATCCGCGTTTGAAGGCGCGCATATACCGAGTCAAGTAAGTTAGTGAAGACGAGCATGCGGTCGAATTAAACACGGTGTATGTCAAGGAGAAACATGGTGCCAGATGTTTTTGAGGCGCCTAGAAAATGGTAGCAGATGTGGAGTGTTGGTTACATGTCTGCTGGTAGTTAGTTCCCAGGCGTTATCCTGAGCACAATTTGCTACTACCTTGACACCACCCACGGACACAGGTGTCTCCCCTTCCTCTTTCTCTCCTCCTCTCGCCCCTTCCTCGTTCTCTACCTTCGCCTGTTCGTCACGCTCTCCTGAACCACCTGGGAACCACCAGATTTATTGCATCCTGCTCCTTTCTGGCCGATGCTCTCTCCTCGACCCTCCGTGGACTCTACCAGCCTCCCATTTTCCTCCATTCTTATTTCCTTCCACCCCTCTCTCACACCAGGAGGTGCATTGAGGAGCATGGTGGACGCCCAGAGACGCCTGCTGGCCAACGCTTTTTTGGACCAAGGCAAATCCGCAAGTCCTGACTTGCCCACCTCACCTCACCCCACCCCACCGCACCCCACCCCACCCCACCCCTGTCAATCTTCGTTGTTTTCGTTTCCCTCTCACTCCCCGCAGGCCGTGCACTGGGCCGAGATCAGCTTGGCCACCGCAGAGAGACGCCTGCCGGCCATCGCCCTCCTAAATCCCGGCAATTGTGTAACTCCAGCCGTGTTATCTTCCCCCCACCTCTGTCAATCTTCCTTGTTCCCGAGGCACATCTCTCTCACACCGGGATGTGCACTGGCGCGAGATCAGCCTGGTGGACGCTGAGAGACGTCTCCTGCCCAACGCGGCAACGCCCTCGTAGACCTCTGGGAACTCATGCTGCATCTCATCCCCCTTCTGTCATCAAACAGTCCACCCTCATTAATGATCCCCTCTCTCTCCCATTCCCCCTCTCCCTCACCCCAGGACGTGCACTGGGGCGAGATCACCAGGGTGGGCGCCAAGAGACGGCTCCTAGCCAACGCTCTCTTGGACCCTGGCAACTCATGATTCATCCCATCGCCTTTCTCTTATCAAGCTTGCCACCCTACTAAGACTTTCCGATCTCTCCCTTTCCCCCTCTCACACCAGGACGTGCACTGGGGCGAGATCAGCATGGTGGACGCCGAGAGACGCTTGAGGCAGTGCAGGTAGTCTGGTTACATTTCATCCTCCATCCTGCTTTCATTTCCAATCTCCCCAAACGCCTCTCTCCCTCACCCCAGGACGTGCACTGGGGCGAGATCAGCATGGTGGACGCTGAGAGACGTCTCCTAGCCAATGCTCTCCTCGACCCCGGCAACTCGCGCTTCATCCTCGTTTCCGAGTCCTGTGTGCCCCTCTTTAACTTCACATTCGTTTACAAGTACCTCCTGGCCTCGCCTGAAGCCTACGTTCGCTTGAAGAACGAGCCGGGGGTGAATGGGCGAGGGAGGTGGAGGAGGGAGTTTTTGCCTCTAGTGAAGCTGGAGGACTGGAGGAAAGGGGGACAATGGTTCGTGGTGGATAGGGAAGCGGCTAGAATTATTGTAGCGGACGAGATTTTTTATCCTCTTTTTAAGCGGTTCTGCCGGCCGCCATGTTACGCGGACGAGCACTACATGCCAACGATGCTGAAGGTGCTTATGCAGGGAAATGTGGCGAACAGGACGGTTACTTGGACGGATTGGTCCAAGGCAGGGGCTGCGCATCCCGCGCAGTTTGGTGCGGGTCAGGTGACGGAGAAGCTTATAGCGAGGATGAGAGGGCCTCCCAGCTGTAGAGTAGGTGATGAGGGTGTTCCTTGCTTTTTGTTCGCCCGAAAATTGATGCCGGGTGCTTTGACAGAGCTGCTTCAACTGGCTGACTTTATGGGGATGTGATTATGCCTGCTGTTCCATCTCATGTCTGCTCATATCTCATCCGTTATTGCTTTTCTCACCACCCCTTCCGCACTCTTCTTGCTTGTGATGATAATGCCCGCTTGTTGCCCATTCCTCCGTCCCTCCGTCTCACCTTCCATCCCTTCCCTTTCCGCCATCTATTGGCCAAGCGATTCTAGATTCGTCTCACAATACGCATGCTAGTGAATAGAGACGGATCTACAGTAGCCAGCAGAAATCCATCTAATCAGACAGTACGTATAGCATGAACGAGGATTATACTATCGGGTCACAATCACACCTTACGTTTCTGCGAAGCTGGGCTTGGGGCCATTCCATTCGATACAAACGCCGCCGCCTCGCGCCGCGGCTTTGCGTACTTCTCCAATCATCGTGGAGAAACGTGTGACTAGTGCTGGACGCCACACTCCCTATTGTATCATATCCTTCCCTGCCCTGGATTTGGTAAAGTACTCTGTACAGAGCTCGATGGACGGCCGGATGGGCGATGACATCCTTGTGGTTACGGATTGGACGGTCCAAAATTGGCGAAAGAAGCCACGTGGGAATTCATGCTTTATTAGCCAATCGTGGACCACATGAAGCCGAAGCTCCCCTCTTGGTTTGCCTGCGCAAATTCAAACTCGGGTACGCAACCAGCTGCTTTTGAAATTTAGACATCGGTCAGTTACTTTGCAACCTTCTTGAAGACCACGAAGATTCACGACCAATGCTTCGTCACTTCGTCGCGCTCGTTTCGTACTAATAGCAGGCGAGGAGGGTTACCAAATTGGTTCGCAACCAGATGTTGACTAATAAAATCACCCCTGTCGCAGATGTACTCCCCGAGTTGCGCTGCCTTGGTTGGGCTGCTACGTATTTCTGCGCCTCCCCCCCGCCCCTGCTCTCTCTAGGCTGAAATGGCTGGAATGGAAACAACACGGGGGAGGGAGGTGCTGCTCAGTTGAGAGGAAAGTACTGCAACACTGAGAAGAGGAGACACGTGTACGACGTAGTAATATGCAACCTACGACCATAAGATAGGTCGAGAAATACGTCGGAGCCCGTAGTAGCTCGATTTCTGCTAACTGTTTGCAGTTCTCCTTTTCGGGACGTAACCGTTTCAGTCAAACCGCTCATCGTCGGTGTAAGTACTGATTGGTGTGTTCACGGTCCGATTCACCATCCTCCTCTGAGGAGTCCTCTCTCCCTTCGTCGCAGCGGCGGCATCATGCTTTCAAGCTATCGTTTTTCCTCTGCGTTGCTAGTTGCATCCCCTAGTAACCTCTCGTAGACATTTATCGTAGCGAAAATCCGCGCTCCCACGTACTATCGCATCGTTTCGCCGTGTCCGTGTTCGCCGCATATTTCCCTCTCCTTCCCAGAATCGCCGGGCCCTCATCATGATTTATCATTCCCTGCCCATCCTCTCCCTCCTCCTCGCATCGGCCCTTCTCACCGCTTCCCCGCCCTCCGTCTCCGCTCAGTCCTCAGCACCCGTAGACTCCACCGCAGCACTCAATAACGCGTTAAATACAGCCTCCAATAAGGCCGCCGGCTCGACCGTCCCCGGATCGAACTCGTCAGCCGCCGCGTCGCTCACCTGGACCGCGAGCCTCCTAAGCGCGACCGGCGTGGACCAGGAGGTGATTAACGCGCGCGGCTCGCGGCTCGGCGCGCTGCTGATCGCCCCGACTAACTACGCGTGGCAGCAGCTCTTCGAGGTCCTAGAGCGCGCCAATGCGAAGCAACCGGCGGCGAGCTGGACAGGTAATATTACTAGAGATCAAGGACATTGTGGTTGACATGGCACCGCCCCGTGAGTCCCGTTTCCTCCGCCTTCTCTCCCCCACTCCCCCCGCTCCCACTCCTCCCCCTCTCCCCATCTCCCACTCTCCACCTCTCGCCCCTCCTTCTCTCCACCTCTCCCCCCTCCTCCTCTCCACCTCTCCCCCCTCCTTCTCTCCTCCTCTCACCAATACTTGGTCGTCGTTTCCCAATCTCCCTTTGAGCCGACTCATAGTCTCTCCTTTCCGCACTCCACACCTCGTGTCCCCTATAAGGCATCCTAACACACCCTCCAGTGACCCTCTAACCCGCAGCCCCCAGCATTGCGACTTGCTCCCCTCCTGTTCTACCTCTCTTCATCCGTCACGCCCACCCCACAGGTGTCTTCGTGGGCTATCCAAGCATAACACCAGCCACGCTCCTATCCGCAGCCACCAGCATCACCACCACCACCACCACCACCACCACCGGATCCTCCTCCTCCTCCTCCTCTTCTGGTGCCAGTTTCGCCAGCACCTTTACCAATTTCTCCGCGCCTCTGGATCTCACCGCCTTGACGCCAGACGGCCGGAGCGCTCTGCGCGGCGTGCTGCTGCTGCACCTTACCAGCGCTTACTATGTGGAGTCCCAGCTGCGGGCCATGGCGTCGCCCAATGCCAGCAACGCAGTGAGTTGAGAGGCCTGTGAGTGGGCTCTATGAGAGGCCTGTGAGTGGGCTCTATGAGAGGCCTGTGAGTGGGCTCTATGAGAGGCCTGTGAGTGGGCTCTATGAGAGGCCTGTGAGTGGGCTCTATGAGAGGCCTGTGAGTGGGCTCTATGAGAGGCCTGTGAGTGGGCTCTGTGAGAGGCCTTTGAGTGGGATCCGAATGTATGTGCCCTGCCACGAGGTGAATTGGTTTTTTAGAATTTTGAGGCGCCTCAAAAGTCGCCTCAAATGAATGTATGCGCCCTGCCACGAGGTGAATTGGTTTTTTAGAATTCTAAAAAAACAATTGGGCTCCGAATGTATGCGCCCTGCCACGAGGAGTCCCAGCTCCGCTTCATGGCGCCACCATTCTGCTCTTGTCTTACCTTCCTCTCACTCTCTCTCCCTCGCTCCCCCTCCCTCCCTCCCCATCCCCGCAGGTGCCCCAACACGGGTATGTGTGTGCACCTGGAACCAACCAGACCATTCAGATCCACAACGAGTCAGACAGCTCTCTCGTGTTCCCATCTCCCCCCTTTCCGTTGCCATCCCTTCCCTGCCCTTCCCTTTCCTCCCCTGCGTTATTCCCCAGGCGCCCCAACACGGGCATGTGTACGCCGTCAGCACCAACCAGACCATTCAGATCCACACCGAGTCCGACAACTCCCTTGTCTTCCGCATGCCAGCCAACGCCAACACGCCCGTGGGGGTCAGCCCCTACACGGCCTACGCGGTCACAGCAGCTGCCACCGTTCTGCCTGGGCTCACCGACGCTGTGGCTGACGGCAAGCTGGCGGTGCAAGGCGTCGATCACGTGCTGCTGCCTCCCATAGGGCCGGCCAACGCTGGGGGAAGAGGTACGCCAACTCTGGGAGAATGGGCTGGCTGAACAATGCTGGGGAAAAAGGTAGGCTTATAGAATAAGTACGGGCTTGTTCCTCACCCTGATCTCCACGACAATAGAGTGCAGAACAGGGGGGGACAGTAGCGCCTGTACTGCTAACCCAAACTGACGCGCCCGTGGGGGTGAGCCCTTACACGGCCCTCGGTCACGGCAGCACATCATTGCCCAGGCCTGTGGGGCTCTGTTCTGCCCACCCTCACCAACGCTGTGGCTGATGGCCAGTTGGCGGTGCAAGGGGCCAATGATGTGCGGCTGCTGCTGCCCACTGGCCCGAGCAATTCGGGGGGGAGAGCCCGGGCAATGTTTCCTCGGTTTCCTGTTGAACATAGCTGTTTTCCTTTATTCTCAGTGTTCCCTTGCTGGATTCAGCTGTCCAAGCTTGTAATTTTACAAATGCTTTATTTTTACTCTCCCTCCTCCCCCCCCCCCCCCCCACTTCCTTCAGCTTTACAGCTTCATCTACAAGTGGTTATTTACATAGCAGGATTTACTTTGGCCTTCCTATTTATATAGGTTCCATTTTCTAAGTGTAGGGCCACATGTGCTGTGAAGTATACCATCCGTTATATGTTTTTTTCTTATGCTAATGGGTTGCTCCTTAGCGAGTTATTGAATCTGAGACATTGGCGGTATAATTCATGTGCCCAGTCAGCGTCTTCTGCCACGTGTGCGCTGAAGTTCTCAACATCGCTGCAGCCGCTTCCGAAGCGGATTGCGGAGATTTCCGTTGCCGACAGTGAATGCACCTCTTCCTCCGTTTTCCCTCGACGGCTTCAGTTCGCGTTCAACTTGCTAAAATGCCATCACAATGTTACGGTTACCACCCTCGTGCGAGTAACCAGCTAAAGTGAAACAAGCGGTTTATTCCTCGGCTCAGCTTGTGGTGTCATCTGGCCTTTTTGTTAGCATGAATTATGAAACATGTCAAAACTGAACTACGAAAGCATTGCCAAACCGACTGTTTGACAGTAGAGGAAAGAATGAACTACTGCTCGAAGTACCCCCTAGTCCAATTTCCAGCCCTTTTCAACCTGAGCCTCTCAAACAAGGCCATGTCAGACATGCTGTTAGACATGTCAGGAAGGAATTCCCGAGGCTTGTTTGTCATTCGAGCCTATACCTCCGTGCAGTTTGTGTGGTACATTAGCCATTTCGGTCAGTAGATCAGGTCAGCGTAATAAAACGAGACACAGCGTGTAATACAGATAGTCGCTTCTTCATAGACGCTGCAACTTGCAGCTGCACCCGCTTTCCCGCTTCTGACAATGGCCCAGTCGCTTCTCGCGTCCTCGCTCCTCGGCGAATCACTGCTAGCTTCGCCTTCATCCACATTCGCAGCTTCCGCTTCCTCCTCGCCATCTCAACGCCCGTTCGCCTCTCCAATCGTCGCCTCTGCGAGGCTCACGCTTTCCGTCAGCCGCCCCGGCGTTTCCTCCTTCGCACAATCGAGCGTCAACAGCAGAATTCAGCGATGCTCGCACGTCGCTCAAGGCATCCGCGCTGTTGAGAGCTTCGACACAAGCTTCGAGCTGGACCCTCAGGTGAGCTCAACCCTGTCGCATCCTATAACACCAAGTCATAAGCGATCAAGTCAGCATCGAAGATTTGCATTCTTATAGTCCGCGCCTGGGCCTTACTCTCTGCGACTAGTAAATGGGACCTTTTGTAACGAAACCGACCGCATTCTGTTACAAACCATTGTGAGAACATATCAGCCTTTCAGCCCCTTGGTCGAGGAAACTTTACGATCACGGTTCTTGGTTCTTGGCCGTTCAATGAGGGTTCTTGGATGTTGTCTCCGTTGCCTTTCGTGCATTTCCTCTTTTCATGTCATCATGTGTTCATGTCATCATGTGTTCATGTCATCATGTGTTCATGGCATCATGTGTTCATGGCATCATGTGTTCATGTCATCATGTGTTCATGTCATCATGTGTTCATGTCATCATGTGTTCATGTCATCATGTGTTCATGTCATCATGTGTTCATGTCATCATGTGTTCATGTCATCATGTGTTCATGTCATCATGTGTTCATGTCATCATGTGTTCATGTCATCATGTGTTCATGTCATCATGTGTTCATGTCATCATGTGTTCATGTCATCATGTGTTCATGTCATCATGTGTTCATGTCATCATGTGTTCATGTCATCATGTGTTCATGTCATCATGTGTTCATGTCATCATGTGTTCATGTCATCATGTGTTCATGTCATCATGTGTTCATGTCATCATGTGTTCATGTCATCATGTGTTCATGTCATCATGTGTTCATGTCATCATGTGTTCATGTCATCATGTGTCTACTCCCATGCTTGTGCGTCTCTTCCCGCCAACAGGCCAGGGAGGTTCTCGTCTACCTGCTCTCGTCAGACGTCTTCCTCCAACAGGTGCGTTGCCTCGAGATCACTCTGAACCGGGTAGTTCCGGACCGTTTAGCTCCGGACCAGGTAGCTCCGGACCAGGTAGCTCCGGAACAGGTAGCTCCGGACCAGGTAGCTCCGGACCAGGTAATTCCGGACCAGGTAGTTCCAGACCAGGTAGTTCCAGACCAGGTAGCTCCGGAGCCGGTAGCTCCGGACCAGGTAGCTCCGGACCAGGTAGATCCGAACCAGGTAGCTTCGGACCAGGTAGCTTCGGACCAGGTAGCTTCGGACCAGGTAGCTTCGGACCAGGTAGCTTCGGACCAGGTAGCTTCGGACCAGGTAGCTTCGGACCAGGTAGCTTCGGACCAGGTAGCTTCGGACCAGGTAGCTTCGGACCAGGTAGCTTCGGACCAGGTAGCGTCGGACCAGGTAGCCCCGGACCAGGGAGGTCCGGACCAGGGAGCTCCAGACCAGGTAGCTCCGGACCAGGTAGCTCCGGACCAGGTAGCCTCGAGATTGCTGCAGCTGAGCGGCCACATCAACGTAAGAACAAACGAGAGGGTTCAAAGATATTGATGGCACTCCCATTTACCTAGGAGTATAAAGGTGACTTTTGAGACTGAAAAAAACTCCCATTTACGTAGGAGTATAAAGCCAATTCTACCTCCTACTAGACCTGACTCGCCAATGAACTCCCCTGCGCATGCAGCCTCCTGTGGCGCTGTTTTTTTTTTTCAATACACCAAATTAATCTTTCTTTTCCCACGTATTCCCGGACGCCCCCCCTGCCAATTGCCTTCGTCCAGGTGGCGAGCCAGCCTGGCGTGCCAGCTGGCATCACAGGAACGGAGTTCACAGGCGAGCTGTTCCCGCCCGTGCCGTGGAGCCCCACCACGCGCTTTGGGATGCCGCAGGTGAGGCGATGAGAGCATGGCATGGGCTGGTGTAGGCCACCCACGGCGTGCCGACTCAGACCAACGCGGGCGAGCTGCTCCCGCCTGTGCCGTGGAGCCCCACGCCACCACGCGCTTTGGCATGCCGCAGGTGAGGCCGTGATATAGACTCTACTCTATCACCTTCCAGTTCAGGGGGCACACATGCACACACATACCAGCATAGGCCTGCACAGGCGAGCTGTTCCCGCCCGTGCCGTGGAGGCCCACCACGCGCTTTGGCATGCCGCAGGTGAGTTTATGGGATGCCCAACCCTTATGGTATAGGCCAACACAGGCCAACCCATGCCGTGGAGCCCCACCACGCCCTTGATTCCTCTCTATTCATTGCCCCCTGTCACAGGAATCGGAGATCAACAGCAACGTGCCTTGCTAAAGGCGCTCTGCAGTCTGCTCTCTTCCTGTTTCTAGTGTGTGCCACCTACCCCTCGGTACACGGGGACGAGGCCAACTTTTGAGGCGCCTCAAAAATCACAGGGCTTAGAGAGGTACCACGGGGACGAGGCCAGCTACATCGTCATCAGCAGCGTGCCCTTGTGAAGCTGGCTTTCTCCCTGCCGCTATTGTGGCCCCTGCCTCTCGCCACAGGAATTGGAGAAGTATAACGAGGACAAGGAGAACTACATCATCATCAACGTGCCGCCCAACTTCATGTTCAAAGCACAGGTCAGCCAGGGGGGGTTGGGTTTGTCAGGAGTTAAGGATTTGTCCAGTGGGGGGGGTGTGTCAGGTTTTGGTCGGTCCAGAGGGTTAGGTTAGTCGCAATGATCAAACGGTCATTAAACTTGGGGGTTTTTTTCTTTTCTCACTCTGAAAGCTCTGTTTGATCGAAAGGTGCAGGGTCCATTCGTCTCAGAGCACAGGCCCAGGCAAAAGCAAGTGTGAAGGCATGTTTCTGGTGTATTGAGGTGGAAATACGCTGCTGATGCTACGGTCTTGCAACCTGTCCCTTTTTTCCCTTCCGTGTCCTCTCCTCTCAGATCTTCAAGCCGTCACGTTTGTGTGCAATCTTCAAGGTGTTGAGAGACCAACCAACGGCCACAGGACAGGAGGATGCTGGGGAAGCCTCGTCATAAGTGAAACTGTAGTCCTTTTTCCTCGGTAATTCCTTACGATGTATTGCATAATGTTTTTGGTAATCAGAAGATTCCAATACCATGTCAGAACAAATCTCAGCATTCCACCTCTGTGGATGTACCGCGGTATACAGAGATGGAAACTCTTGTACCGTATCATACTTTATGACACATCAAAGTGTATCAATAGTCTTATCTAGTCTTCAACACGGTCCTTCCACACGCTTTATTCGGCTGCTACATGCATCCTTCCTTCAACAACACTTTCCCGAGCACCCGACTGGTCCCTTGCTGTATCAACTGCTAATATGCCGCCCCTGTATCTCTCCACCTCTACCCCCTGAGACCCCTGCTGCCACCTTCCCTGCATCAGCACCTGCACCAGCTGCAGCAGTGCTGCTGCTGCCAGCACCTGTCTGGTCCCTTGCTGCATCAACTGCTGCTATCCCCCCTCCTGTATCTCTACCTTCACTAACCCCTGAGACTCCTGCTGCTATCCCCCCTCCTGTATCTCTACCTTCACTAGCCCCTGAGACTCCTGCTGCTATCCCCCCCCCTGTATCTCTACCTTCACTAACCCCTGAGACTCCTGCTGCCACCCCACCTGCACCAGCCCTTGCAGCAGCAGCAGCAGTGTTGTCAGCTGGAAACCCAGCAGCAGCATCCCTATCGACAAGTGCTGCTGAATCCCCAAGCCTCACCTCCATCCTGCTTGGCTCTTCTCGACTGGTAACAAGTGCCACGCGTGCCACAGGTGCCACGGGTGGTTTTTGAGGCGTCTCAATCCCAACAACTGCTCCAGTGCGTGCGGCTGCGGGCAAAGAATCGTTTCCAGCTGCTCTGGTGCTTGCATTGCTGGTTATTGTACCGTCTGCACCAGCGGTAACACTTGCACCAGTGGTAACACTTGCACCAATGGTAACATCGGCACTCCTGGTAACATTTGCACCGGCAGTAGCGTTTGTGGCATTGGCAGCATTGGTGGCATTGAGCAGATCGGCGAAGAAGAAATCACCCATCATGAGACCCCCTCCCAGCATCATGTCACCATCCCCATCACCATCCCCACCACCATCACCATCCTCCCCACCGCCCTCCCCTCCACCGCCCCCCCCCATGCCATCATCCCCAGCGAACCCACTCACCTCCACACTCCCTCCAACCTCCAACACCCCCACTCCCCCACTCTCTTCCCCTCCCTCTCCTCCCTCTCCCCTCCCCACTCCCTCGCCTCCTCCTCTCTTAAGCAGCTTAGGCACTAGAGCCACTAGCTGTTTGACACGTGTCTTAACCTCAGCCACATGCTTCCTGAGCCGCACTCTCTCCTTGCGAACTGCCTGTGCCGATATCACCGCCCACGCCACCTGCATGCGCTGCCGCAGCCACGCGCCCATGGGCTGGTGGGGAGAGGGAGAGGGGGGGGGGGTGGGGGGGAACACCTGTTCAAGAATGGGACGGGCCATCGGTATCACCGCCCACGCCACCTGCATGCGCTGCTGCAGCCATGCACCCATGGGCTAGTGCGGAGAGAGAGGGGGGAAGTGGGGAGGGGGAGGGGGGGTTGGGGGCCAGTCAGTGAAACACCTGTTTAAGTATGGGACCATTGATATCACCACCCATGTCGCCTGCATGCACTGCCACAGCCACGCACCCATGGGCTGGTGATGGGAAAGGGGTGGAAGAAGTTGTTGGGGGGTTAGGGACGCAAGGGGGCAACACGGTGGGGTTTGTTTCAGTGGAAACCAATCGGCTGAACTGTTTTTGAGCGCAGTTGTTTATACCTTCTCTCCCTCTGCATGTCCACAGCATTGTTCTTTTCACCCCAGCCATCCTGCTCACAGCTCATCCCTCCCCTTTGCCAGCTCATTCCTCCCCATTGCCAGCTCATCCCTCACCTTGGCTGACTCATCCTTCACAAGCCCATCGCCATACTCGTCCATCATCGTAACATCCATCGTGTAGATCGGGGTATTGTCCGAAATCACCCCAGCGCGATCCCCCCAGTAATGATTCAGCCTCATCACCCTCGTATCCACCAGAGGCGGCGGCCCATTCTCCATGACGGGCCACGAGTGCGGGTTGATGCAGTCATCCGTGAGATGTGCCGCGAGGGGCAGCCATGCGAGGGGCTTGGTGCGGTGGCGCTCCGACGAGTTCGGCATGCGCAGCGTGTAGCGCTCAAGCAGCGTGTCGGTGTCGGGACCAATGGGGTCTCCCAGGAAGAAGAGGTTTTGAACCAGAACCTGAGAAAGGGGGGGAGGGGGAGGAGAGGGGGAGGGAGGGAGAGAGGATTGTGGGAGAGAGGGGAGAAGAGAGCGTGTTGTGGCCTCTTCCGCACTTGTGTGTGCACTAAAAGAGGCAGTGGCCCCCCATTTTCCAGGACGGGCCACGCGTGGGGTGGGGTGGGGGTTGATGCAGTCGTCCATGAGATGCAGTCGGCCATGAGATGCAGTCGGCCATGAGATGCAGTCGGCCATGAGATGCAGTCGGCCATGAGATGCAGTCGGCCATGAGATGCAGTCGGCCATGAGATGCAGTCGGCCATGAGATGCAGTCCGCCATGAGATGCAGTCGACCATGAGATGCAGTCGGCCATGAGATGCAGTCGGCCATGAGATGCAGTCGGCCATGAGATGCAGTCGGCCATGAGATGCAGTCGGCCATGAGATGCAGTCGGCCATGAGATGCAGTCGACCATGAGATGCAGTCGGCCATGAGATGCAGTCGGCCATGAGATGCAGTCCGCCATGAGATGCAGTCGGCCATGAGATGCAGTCGGCCATGAGATGCAGTCGGCCATGAGATGCAGTCGGCCATGAGATGCAGTCGGCCATGAGATGCAGTCGGCCATGAGATGCAGTCCGCCATGAGATGCAGTCCGCCATGAGATGCAGTCGGCCATGAGATGCAGTCGGCCATGAGATGCAGTCGGCCATGAGATGCAGTCGGCCATGAGATGCAGTCCGCCATGAGATGCAGTCCGCCATGAGATGCAGTCGGCCATGAGATGCAGTCGGCCATGAGATGCAGTCGGCCATGAGATGCAGTCGGCCATGAGATGCAGTCGGCCATGAGATGCAGTCGTCCAAGCGATGCACGGCGAGGGGCCTATTTTTTAGGCGCCTAAAAAATAGACTCCCCCACACAAGGGGCTTGGTGCGCTGGCGTGTGTAATGAGTCGATTTTTGAGTCGACTCAAAATCGAATCATTGCACGGCGAGGGGCAGCCACACAAGGGGCTTGGAGCAGTGGCGCTCGGACGAGTTGGGCATACGCGGTATGTAGCGCTCAGGCAGCGAGACGGTGTCGGGACCGATTGGGTATCCCAGGAAACAGAGGATTTGTATTAAGACCTGTGAGGCGGAAAGAGGTGGAAGAAGAGGGGGTGGATAGAGAAGCTCGGGGAGTTGGGCACGCGCAGCGTGAGAGTGTCTGTGTCGGGACCAATGGGGTCACGGAGGAACAATAGGTTCTGAATCAAGACCTGAAGTAGGGGGAGGACTTGAGCATGCCTTGAGCCTGGTCAAAGAATGCACACGCGGAGGAAAAAGGGGGTCAACGTGCAGCGAGAGGTGAGGGGCTGTGGCCGCTGGATGGGAAGGAGGCAACTTACACTTGAAACGTGATGTAGAGCTTGTAATCTTAGTGAGGTACACATAAGTAGGATTGGAGCATCCTCTCCAATTCTTTCTGTGTGTACCTCTGACTACGATCACAAGGTCTACATCACGCTTCAAATTCAAGTCACCTCCTTGATCTGCCCTCGTCTCCCGACAAACAATTTTTGAGGCGCCTCAAAACTCGTCTCCCGACAAACAACCCCTCCTCATCCAGTGTCCACGGCCCCTCATCCTTTGCTGCACATTGACCTCTTTCTCCTCCGTGTGTGCACTCTTTGACCAGGCTCAAGGCATGCTCAAGAAAAGAGGACAGAGGGAGGGAAGAGGATTAAGTAAAGCGGAAACGAAAAGGGAAGAGGATAATGGGAGGAGGGAGAATAAGGGGAGGGAAGAATACGGGCTTGGAGTGGGCACATGGGCACGAGAAGAGTGGATCAGTCTGCTGCGTGATTCACTCTGCGCCCTGTGTGTGGTTGTATGTGGTTGCGTTTTTTTGCATGTGGTTGCACTTGCAGAGACCAACTATCAAAACCGCCCACCTGTATTGTCGTATTCGGTAAAGTCTGCAGGTAGTGACGAAGAAAGCCGGGCGGTGTGCCAGCCGGCGAGAAGAAGTACTCATCAATATCAACGTGGAAAGCCCAATGCACCTCCGAGGCATATTGCTGGGAGGGTTGGGGGAAGGGGAGAGAAGGAAGGGCAGAGAGCATCGAGCTGAGAGGGGATAGATGGAGGGAAGAGAGTGGACAACTGCGAGAGAAAATACTCGCCCAATACTCGGAGGCGCATTGGGCTTTCAATGTTGAAAATACTCGAGCGCCCAATAGTTCCCAACCAACCCACCTCTTACCCCCCTTCACTTCTCATCTTCACCCAGTGGTTGCATGCTGCCCCCTGCTTGCACCATCGTCACCAACACGTCCCACTCTCATCTCCCACTCTCTCCCCCACTCTCATCTCCCACTCTCATCTCCCACTCTCATCTCCCACTCTCATCTCCCACTCTCATCTCCCACTCTCATCTCCCACTCTCATCTCCCACTCTCATCTCCCACTCTCATCTCCCACTCTCATCTCCCAATCTCATCTCCCACTCTCATCTCCCACTCTCATCTCCCACTCTCATCTCCCACTCTCATCTCCCACTCTCATCTCCCACTCTCATCTCCCACTCTCATCTCCCACTCTCATCCCCCACTCTCATCTCCCACTCTCATCTCCCACTCTCATCTCCCACTCTCATCTCCCACTCTCATCTCCCACTCTCATCTCCCACTCTCATCTCCCACTCTCATCTCCCACTCTCATCTCCCACTCTCTCCCCCCACTCTCATCTCCCACTCTCATCTCCCACTCTCTCCCCCCACTCTCATCTCCCACTCTCATCTCCCACTCTCATCTCCCACTCTCATCTCCCACTCTCATCCCCCACTCTCATCTCCCACTCTCATCTCCCACTCTCATCTCCCACTCTCATCCCCCACTCTCATCTCCCACTCTCATCTCCCACTCTCATCTCCCACTCTCATCTCCCACTCTCATCTCCCACTCTCATCTCCCACTCTCATCTCCCACTCTCATCTCCCACTCTCTCCCCCCACTCTCATCTCCCACTCTCTCCCCCCACTCTCATCTCCCACTCTCATCTCCCACTCTCATCTCCCACTCTCATCTCCCACTCTCATCTCCCACTCTCATCTCCCACTCTCATCTCCCACTCTCTCCCCCCACTCTCATCTCCCACTCTCATCTCCCACTCTCATCTCCCACTCTCATCTCCCACTCTCATCTCCCACTCTCATCTCCCACTCTCATCTCCCACTCTCATCTCCCACTCTCATCTCCCACTCTCATCTCCCACTCTCATCTCCCACTCTCATCTCCCACTCTCATCTCCCACTCTCATCTCCCACTCTCATCTCCCACTCTCATCTCCCACTCTCATCTCCCACTCTCATCTCCCACTCTCATCTCCCACTCTCATCTCCCACTCTCATCTCCCACTCTCATCTCCCACTCTCATCTCCCACTCTCATCCCCCACTCTCTCCCCCCACTCACTCTCAACCCTCGTTCTCCCCACACTCTCTCCCCCCGCTCTCTCCCCCCTCTCTCCCCCCACTCTCTGCCCCGCCCTCTCCTCCTGCCCTCTCCCCCCCTCTTCTCCCCCTTCCTCAAACCCTTCTCACAATCTCACCTTCACCCAGTGGTTGAGGAGTCTTCTCTCCCTTCTCAAACCCTCCTCAAACCCTTCTCCCACAGTCTCCCCCCCCCTCTCCCCCTTCCTCAAACCCTTCTCACAGTCTCACCTTCACCCAGTGGTTGAATGCTGCCCCCTGCTTGCACCGGAACATCCTCTCAAGATATGCTGTGAAGTTGCCCTCCACAAACGGCAGCTCCCGCACTCGGTGGTACACCAGCAGTCCGGCATCGACGTATGGGGCGAGTACCACATCCTGAGGGGGGGGGGAGCGGAAATAGCAATGTGGAGGGAGGAGAGGGGAATATGAGAGAGAGTGAGGGAGTCACACAGGGAGTGAAGGCTGGTATTCCATTAATACCAAGGACCGCTTGAAGGGGAGGGGAGGGGGGAAGGTAGACATGGGCAAAAAAAATTGCATCGCATCGCATTTAATCGCGTTTTTGCGATTGCAAAAAAAAAAAAAAAAAAAAAAAAAAAAAAAATCATCGCGCGATGCGATGAATCGTTTATCGCGCGATCTAATTCAAATCGCATTATAATCGCGCTAAAACACACGATTTAAATGCGATATGCGATTTTTTTAAAATCGCGCGCGATGTCGCACTGAAACCCACTCTGAAACCCACTACGAAACCACACTAGTTATTTGCACTCTAGCTTACGACTGCCCGTGATTCAATTTCCCGGCAGCCATGGTTTTTTTCTGGTTTTTTGGGGTGTTTTTTTAATTCTGTTTAAAAACGCGATGCGATTGAAAATCGCATCGCGCGATTTAATTGAATACCGCATGCGATTTTAATATTCATCGCGCGCAAAACGCGATGCGGGATTCTTTTTTCCAGAAATTAAATCGCGCTATGCGATTTAAAATCGCATCGCATTTAATTAAATTGCCCCCCAATGCGATGCGATTTAAATCGCAATCGCATTTTTCACCTTTTTTTCGTATTAAACAGCCGTTTAATTCGATACCGTTTAATACAGTTTTGTTTTTTTAAATGGCATTTTTTTAAAACCCTGATCTCCTCCCTAGATCAGCACCGAAGCAAAATTACTATTTGCTCTACCATACAGAACTAAAAATGACCATTCTGCCATATGTGACGGCACCAAATAATTGAAAAAGAAAAGAAAAGAAAAAAAAAACACAATCCCGAACAAACCTGATATTCCTCGGTGCTCCTCGCCTTGTCGTACCAATAGAACCGAGTCACTCCAGTGCCTTGGCTTGGCGCAGTTTGAGCTGCCTGAAAAGCAGCAGCTGCTCCAATGCCTGATTGATTACCCAACGCACCTGGTCTTCCTCGGTGCTCCTCGCCTCGTCGTACCAATAGAACCGAGTCACTCCAGCGTAGCGGTGATACTCCAGCCACTGTAGACGCAAAGAAGCACGGCCAAAACATGAGATTAAAGAGTAGAAGGTGAGCTGCGGGATGGATTGACGGGGATGATGAGAGAGGCTATTTTTTAGGCGCCTCAAAAATAGACTCCTGTGGGATGGATTGACCGGGATGATGAGAGAGTGGGGGAAGTGGAGGACAATTGGGCACGCTCCCATCCTATCCCCCTTCCAGCGCACTCCCACCTGCCAGACACTCCCACCTGCCACTCCCACCTGCCACATGCGCAGCGCCCAGAACCTTGTGCAGTCGCCATCAAACACCCACCCGCCGGCCCATCACCAGCAACGGGCCCTGCATTGCCCAGTGCACAGCCTGCCACAACCTCCCTTCTTCAACCCTAACCCTGTCCATCGCACACCCACCTGCCACACATGCAGCGCCCAGAAGCGAGTGGAATCCCTGTCAAACACCCTGTTGTACACCATACCGGCTTTCGCCAGCGGGCCCTCAACTCTCTACTGTACAAACCCACTACCAGCCCATCCCATCCCTCCCAAACCCCCCCTTCAAACCCCCCTCACCTGCCACACATGCAGCGCCCAGAATCTTGTGTAATCCCCGTCAAACACCCTGTTGTACACCATGCCGGCTATCACCAGCGGGCCCTGCACTCTCGGACGAATGTACTGCTTGGGGCGGTCTGGGGCTTTGGGAGCTGTGGCTGCTGCTGCTGCCTCTCCCGCTGACAGCTGTAGTGCTGCTGCTTCTGCTCCTGCCTCTGCTGCTGCTGCTGCTGCTGGGGCAGCAGCAACAGGCGCAGCAGTTTCCCTGGGGTGACTGTGAGTGTGAGCGGGAATTTCGACCGAGCCGGGTGGCAGTTGCAGGAACGCCACACTTGCATTGAAGGCGTGGGGGTGCAGGCTGTGATTGTAACGAAGGGGGTGAGATTGGGGAAAGGGAAAGCGAGGGCGGCGGAAGGGGGGAAGGTGAGTGCACCTTACATGGGCAGTTTACATGAGCAAAACCGGGTAATTACCCGACCCGACCCGGTTTTGCCCTACCCGTGATCGGGTCCGGGTCTGGTCGGGTCGGGTAGTTTCCGGGTAATGTTTGGAGGTCTGTTACCCGACCAGGCATTTTAATACCGGGTAATTGGGTACCCGTCTGGCGGGTCGGTTAAACCCGACCCGCATTTAATTGAAGTCGGGTAATATTACCCGGGTACCCGTAGGTGGCTGTAAAATTCAGCAAACCTGGACTAACAAACCCGAAGTCGGGTCGGGTAGCCGCAACCCGAGGGGTAATAAATTACCCGATATTTCGGGTAATTCTCGGGTAACGGGTATGCATTACCCAGCCTGAGTACCCGACCCGACCCGGCCGGGTAATTCGTCAAAATACTATTACCCGACCCGGTCAAAATGTCGGGTCGGGTCGGGTACCCGCGACCCGACCGGGTAAAATGCTAAAGTCTAGTTTACACCGAGCCAGTTGAGAGTTGCAGGAATGCCATGCTTGCATTAAAGGGGTGCGGGTGCAGGCTGTGAGGACGGGGAAAATGGCAACATCGTGGGTGAGTGATTCAGCATCGTGTGGGTGATTAATTCAGCATTGTGGGTGAGTGAATCAGCGTGGACAACAGAAAGGGGCTCTCAACGTCTGCTTCAGCATCCGAAGGCTCTCCATCACAGTGAGCTGAGTGCTTGCTTGCACTGACGTGCCTCACAAGCAGCCCCCTTACCTGACTTCAGTATTCAGCACCATCTCTATGTTGTCTACCAAGACTCTCCGAGTCAGCTTGAGCATGTGCAAGTGTTGGGGTCAAAGAAGACCCCAAACCTTTTCCCCGATAAGCCATGCCAGCAGCTCTCTCACCTGCCTTCACCCCCCACCTGCCTTCACTCTCACCTGCCTTCACCCCCCACCTGCCTTCACCCCTCACCTGCCTTCACCCCCCACCTGCCTTCAACCCCCACCTGCCTTCACCCCTCACCTGCCTTCACCCCTCACCTGCCTTCACCCCCCACCTGCCTTCACTCTCACCTGGCTTCACCCACCACCTGCCTTCACCCCCCACCTGCCTTCACCCCTCACCTGCCTTCACCCCCCACATGCCTTCACCCCTCACCTGCCTTCACCCCTCACCTGCCTTCACCCCCCACCTGCCTTCACCTCCCACCTGGCTTCACCCCTCACCTGCCTTCACCCCTCACCTGCCTTCACCCCTCACCTGGCTTCACCCCTCACCTGCCTTCACCTCCCACCTGGCTTCACCCCTCACCTGCCTTCACTCTCACCTGCCTTCACCCCCCACCTGCCTTCACCCCTCACCTGCCTTCACCCCCCACCTGCCTTCACTCTCACCTGCCTTCACCCCCCACCTGCCTTCACCCCTCATCTGCCTTCACCCCCCACCTGCCTTCATCCCCCACCTGCCTTCACCCCTCACCTGCCTTCACCCCCCACCTGCCTTCACCCCTCACCTGCCTTCACCCCTCACCTGCCTTCACCCCCCACCTGCCTTCACCCCTCACCTGCCTTCACCCCCCACCTGCCTTCACCTCCCACCTGGCTTCACCCCTCACCTGCCTTCACCCCTCACCTGGCTTCACCCCTCACCTGGCTTCACCCCTCACCTGCCTTCACCTCCCACCTGGCTTCACCCCTCACCTGCCTTCACCCCCAACCTGCCTTCACCCCTCACCTGCCTTCACCCCTCACCTGCCTTCACCTCCCACCTGCCTTCACCCCTCACCTGCCTTCACCCCTCACCTGCCTTCACCCCCCACCTGCCTTCACCCCTCACCTGCCTTCACCCCCCACCTGCCTTCACTCTCACCTGCCTTCACCCCCCACCTGCCTTCACCCCTCATCTGCCTTCACCCCCACCTGCCTTCACCCCCCACCTGCCTTCACCCCTCATCTGCCTTCACCCCTCACCTGCCTTCATCCCCCACCTGCCTTCACCTCCCACCTGGCTTCACCCCTCACCTGCCTTCACCCCTCACCTGCCTTCACCCCTCACCTGGCTTCACCCCTCACCTGCCTTAACTGTTGTAAAATATATATCTATACAACATGCATGCCTAGATTAGGAGGTGTAGTCATTATAAATATTGGGGGTTGTTGGTTGGGTTGACCAACCCACCATTTGGGTTGGTCAAGATTGGATTTGGTCCTAGACATTTGGTTGGCACTATTCCAACCAAATGGTCCTTGGTCCTAGGAACCAACCAATCACCAAGCACCACACTTTGTGGTTGCTTGCCTTCCAAGCAATCTCTTTCATTGGTCCACATTGTGGCCAATCAGAGAGCACCACACTTTGTGGTTGCTTGCCCTACAAGCAACCTCTCCCATTGGTCCACTCTATGGCCAATAGGAGAGCTTCTCTTCCAACTCTTCCTTGCTCCTTGTTTTATACAAAAGAGCCTCTTGGCTCCCTACTCAAAAAATCTTTTCTCTTCCAAGCTATTTCCTTCATGGTATTCAGAGCCACAATGGCTCACGCCACCTCTAGTCGATCCTAACTAGCACGGCCCTATGCCGTCCCTCCTCGCCATCGAAGCCTAGCCTTTCTTAGGCTATTTCGCGCGCCGTCCGTGCGCCCTCTCCCGACGCGATCTCCCATCGCGCACACTCTCTCTCCCGTCGCGCGCCTCCTATCGCGCCTGCTCTCCCTTCCGTTGCGCACCTCCCCTCGCGTCTTTCGACGCCCTTTTCCTCCTTGCGTCCTCCCGTCGTGCGCCCTCTGCCACCGCGCGCACCCGTTCGTCGCGCTCTCGCACCACCCGCCTGTTCGTCACGGCAGTCGCGTGCACCCGCCGACGAATCTGTTCATCACGAACGTGCTCGCCGCCGCAGCCGTCGCCGATTTCGTCGCCGTCGCGTGCGGCTGTCCGTCGTCGCTTCCGCCGACCGCGCGCGGCCGTCCTTCGGCGACTTAAGAGCTGCGCTCCGCGCACCTATCCTTCTCCTCCCTCCCCCTTCTCCTCCTCCTTTCCTTTTCCTCCTCCTTTCCTTCTCCTCCTCCTTTCCTTTTTCCTCCTCCTTTCCTTCTCCTCCTCCCCCCCACCCCCCCCCCCCCCCCCCCCCCCTTCCTTCCCCTCCTCCTCCTCAATGGCGTCCGATTCCTCGGTGGACCTTACCTCCGTCGACGCTCTTGAGCTGCTGCCCGACAACACCGCGGTCAATTGGCATTCCTATGCCCAAACCGTCACAGTGCTTCTCTCCTCGGTGACGGTCAACGGCTACAACCTGAAAGCCGTTGTCCATCTCGAGGAGCGCGGTCTTCAGCCTGCCCAGCCGACTGCTCCCGCGGGCCCTCCACCTCCTCCTCCTGGCGATGCTCCCGTCAGCCCTGGCGATCCTCCAACCTTCGCCCCTGACGTCAACAACTCTCAGAGCTCCGAGACCGCCATTCGCACCTACCGTGCCGGCCTCACCGACCACGTCCGCCAGCAGCTGCTCTTCGAGGCTTCCCGCGCCGAGCATGACGCCGCCACTACCGCCTACAACACGTATCAGGCGGAGCTCGCGGAGTACGTCAGGCGGGAGCGCGCATACATCACCGACCTCGCCGCCTGGCGTGTTGCTGACCGGCGCACGCTCACCGTCCTCCTCGCCACCATTCCTCCCACCCTCAAGCGCGAGCTTGCTCCCACTTCCTCCTCCCACCTCTGGCGCCTCCTCACCGATCTCTATGATCGGCAGGACGTTGCCACCCTCTACTCCCTCATCAAGGAGTTCCAGAGCCTCACCATGGACTCTACCACCGGCGCAGCTGCCTTCACGCGTCGCGTCCTCGACCTTGCTCGGCGTCTGGCGGCTCTTGGCGTGCCGTACCCGGACCCAGTGCTCTGCTGCCACCTCCTTGAAGGCTTGACTCTTGCCTTCGACACCCATAAGATCGCCTACATGCAGCTGATCGACAAGCGCATCACCCCAGCTGAAGTCGCCCAGTGGATTATCACCACCGAAGCCGACCTCTTGCGCCATTCCTCCTCAACTGCCGCTGTTGCTCAGCAGCGCAACACCAGGGGAGGGCGCGGGGGTGGGCGTGGCGCTGGTCGTGGTGGTGGTGCGGGTCGTGGTGGCAACGGCGCAGGACGTGGTGCAGCAGCCGCCTTTCCTCCTTGTCAGTATCTCCCTCGCTATGGCCCCACGCGGGGTCAGCGATGCGGCCAGACCACTCATGCCACTGACTCTTGCTTCAAAGCACTCAGTGATGAGTGGTTTGCCCGCGGCAACACCGGCATCCCCCCCCGCTGGTCCTCCCTCTCCCCTCGCCCCACTCCTCAAGAGGTTCGTACCTCCCCTCTTTTCCAGCCCGTCTCCTCCCCCTTGGCCCACCAGGCCGTCTCTCAGCAACAGCAGCAGCAGCAGACTCCGCAGCAGATCCTGCCGCAGCCGTTTCAGCAGCAGCAGCAGCAGTTCCAGCAGCAGCAGCAGCAGTTCCAGCAGCAGCAGCAGCAGGGGCAGCAGCACCTCTTCTCCCAGTTGCAGCAGCAGCTCCAGCAGCTCCAGCAGCAGCTTGACCTCCAGTCGCAGCTCCCCCTTGTACCTCCTCCTATGGCTCCCCCCCAGCAGCCCTACCCAGTTTGGACCGCCGGCACCGCCGCTTCCGCAGCTCACCTCTCGGGCGCGTCTCCCGCGCTCTCAGCCACAGGCAGTGTGACTCCTTTCCCCTCCTCTGGTTTTGTTGGCATGGTTAGTCAGGCTGGAACCCCCGCCCCTTCTATGTATTCGGCTGCTATTAATGAGAATGTGATTCAGTACTCCGTCCCACCTCCTCCCCCACATCCTCCCCCCTCCACCACGCTGGACTTTGTCCTTGACAGTGGAGCCACCGAGTCCGTCCTTCGTGATGCTGGTACCCTTCACCCCCTCCCAGCCCCCACCTCCCTCCTTGGTGCCGATTC